ACTGAAAGTTCGGTCAATGCAGGACAATTGAAGTGCAAGCGTCGTGAGCGCCCACCAGAGGCGCTATACATGACGTCATCACCAACACCACCATCTAATAATTCAAAGGACTAATCCAAAAGGTTTATGACTCAGAAAAAGGAATGATCATGATTCCAAAAATAAAGTATTGCCTATTTCATTTTCTGAATTGTGGACCTAAAAGTTATGGACCGTATCTCACTTTCGGAGCTACGTAATCTATTTAATTTTCAAAAGGTTCATACTTTCCATGATTCCTTTTTTGTATTATGTACTTTGGAATTACCAAAATGACCAATGAAAATGTATATTTGATATTTTTACGACAAGTGGAAACAAAATCAAGAATGTTATCTAGACTAATCAGATAAACTTAAGAATTGACTAACAATCAAATACATTCAAACTTCGCCAACGATTGTTTTCTATAACAGCACTATGGTTTAATTTCAATTCTCTTTGGAATTATGTTGAAGGAAAGACAACAAAAATTAACTTACCAAATAAAGAAATCGTGAGCCAGAGAACAACTGTACTAATAACTATCTACGATCACGCAGACAAACACATTTTCGTTGTTTTATCCGAAATAGCGAATATAATAATCCTATCGGAAGCTTTATCTCGGCTAGTGACTCTTGCGATGAGAGGTGGTTTGCAAGTGGACATAATTGAGCTCACACACGTCCTCTTATGCGTTCCAATTAATTTGCGATTATAATAATCCTAGCCATGATGTGAGTTACCTTTGCAAACTAAAATAGCAAAAAAAAGTAAAAAATCGCCTCGCCGCTACGAGGCTCGTGGACGAGGTTCGTCAACGATGCAAAAAGCTAGATCCGCCCCTGCCGATATAATAATCCTAGCCATGATGACTATGAGTTATCTGTGTAAGCTCAATATGCGGATTAATATTTCAATACAATGACCGGTGTAATAACGATAATTATATTCTGCATCAACAATTCATTGGTTTTTGATTGGTTAAAAGTGTGTCACCTGATAAAACAAAAAAAAACACTATCTTGCAAAAAAGTACTTTTTACCTCTTGTAGGCGGTACATATTTCTATAAAAAATAATAAATTAATGATATTTTTATGTCGATATTCGTTATTTCTTCCCTTCATGCAAAATGGTCTGTGATAATCACTGTAGGTTGCTTATCATAATCACGGGTCCCTTTTTAACATGAGGTTTGGGCTTTCTCTAGCGTTCACTTGCTTACCAAACATCTCGTGGTCAAAGGACCCCTTTGAAGACCAGCTTTCAGCTGTAAAGGGTGATTCTTCCCATATGTGGAGAATAAATAAATACAAAGAATACAATGAAACAGCCTGTCCGCACTAGTTTGGCCAGAATTTGTTTGCTATATAGAGGGCGCAAGTAGCTACAAGTGGTGCAGTCCCGCTTAAGACCCTTTTTGATTATTGAAAGGCCACACATTAATCTCCCTGTGCCAATTTGTATTCATCATGGGAAAGATATACGAAAGGCTTGAAGATTACGACCAGAAACGGGTAATTTTGCAAAGCCTTCGTCTTTCACAAAGAAATCCTCCCGTCAGCTGGCGTTTATATTGTTTTGTGCAAAATTACACGTGTGACAATAAGCTTTAGTTTTTAGCGTTACCCCCCAAAAGCAGTCAGTTATTTCTTTCATATACCGCATCTCAAGCGTCAATTCTTAAAAAGAGCTATATAAACAAAACTTGCCTGTTAAAAAGGATTTATATTTAAAAAAATTAAAAATTCCCCGTCTAGAGCATTGCGCTGATCTCAGCGTGCGTATCCATTGTTATGTTTTCTTTGCGTCCTTGCTTTGACCTTTGTACACCCAAATAGAACCTTGCCCGGTCAATATTTTTCTTTTTAATACCCCACAGTTAGTAGCGAATTTCGTGCCTGTAGCTTTGACCAATCAGAGGCTTAGAATCTTCATCATATTTTTATTAACTTGTATCTCATTTTGTAGAATGGTCTAATTGATATGATCGATTTGTATTTCGTAAAGAATGCTGAAAAATATTTTAGACTTGTTTGAAGCGACTCAACTGAGTACGATATAATTAAATCCATCAACCTATATATCAATTCCACTTACTGTCCTATTTAGTATTCATTTTTCATCGGATTATTACCTAAGATGTGAAATCTAAATGATTTTATCGACGAAAGGCCTTGCAATATTCCTGATTTGCGTCATGGATTGCGTAGTTTGACATTTTCGTAGCCAAAAGCTCAAAGATAAGTGAGAGGGGAGATTATCTGTAATCTTCGTGCATGATCCGAATATCCTACCACGCACCTAAATACATACGATCACAGTGTGGGTGTGCGTGTGTGTGTGTGTTTGTGTGTGTTGGAGAGTGGGGGGGGGGGGGTAGGGTAGTGCCCATCTCGTCCTATAAAATGTTAATATGTAAAATGTTTCAGGCGTGTTAGAATGAAGAAAGTTCTTCGTTTTGGAATGAAACAATAGACAAATGAATGAATAGATGAGAGTTCCCCCTCCCGTACTGAGTAAATTGTATACTTTTGCAATTTCCCAGGCCTGTTTTCATGTACATAAATGTTGATATATATATTTTTAAATTTTGATTAACGTATAAAGAAACTGCCCATTTACATGTATAGTATAACACCATGAGTAGAAAATGAGGGGGGGGGGGGGGTTCTTTCCCCTTTTTAAAATCCGGAAATGTGAACTTAAATAGCATTTTGAATGCTTAAATTATGGGTTATAATATTTTCAAGTTTACCAATAAGACTCAAGAATATGTTTTTGCAATTATGTGATAAAATATATACAGAGGAGAAAGAGTAGCTCCCACAACAGTCCGCTAAATTTAATAGTACAAAAGGACGGGAAGATTCTCCAGTCGGGCCATGATCATCATGAACAGCTTCGTCAACGACCTTTTATACAATAACATATTGATATTGGGCAAATGAGATAAAACGTATTGGCCAGTATGAAGAAAGTTAGAAGATTGTACCAAGTAGAGGTAGGATGGTAGTAGACTTGGTAGAAGTAGTGTGGTGGTAGGATGGTAGTAGAGGTAGGATGTTGGTAGACATGGTAGAAGTAGTGTGGTGGTAGGGTGGTAGTAGAGGTAGGATGGTGGTAGTAGAGGTAGAGGTAGGATGGTAGTAGACTTGGTAGAAGTAGTGTGGTGGTAGGATGGTAGTAGAGGTAGGATGTTGGTAGACATGGTAGAAGTAGTGTGGTGGTAGGGTGGTAGTAGAGGTAGGATGGTGGTAGTAGAGGTAGAGGTAGGATGGTGGTAGGGTGGTAGTAGAGGTAGAGGTAGGATGGTCGTAGTAGAGGTAGGATGGTAGTAGACTTGGTATAAGTAGTGTGGTGGTAGGGCGGTAGTAGAGGTAGGATGTTGGTAGACATGGTAGAAGTAGTGTGGTGGTAGGGTGGTAGTAGAGGTAGAGGTAGGATGGTGGTAGACATGGTACAAGTAGTGTGGTGGTAGGGTGGTAGTAGAGGTAGAGGTAGGATGGTAGTAGTAGAGGTAGGATGGTGGTAGACATGGTAGAAGTAGTGTGGTGGTAGGGTGGTAGTAGAGGTAGAATGATGGTAGACATGGTAGAAGTAGTGTGGTGGTAGGGTGGTAGTAGAGGTAGAATGATGGTAGACATGGTAGAAGTAGTGTGGTGGTAGGATGGTAGTAGAGGTAGGATGGTGGTAGACATGGTAGAAGTAGTGTGGTGGTAGGATGGTAGTAGAGGTAGGATGGTGGTAGACATGGTAGAAGTAGTTTGGTGGTAGGGTGGTAGTAGAGGATGGATGGTGGCAGTAGAGGTAGACGTATAGCATGGTAGTGGTAGAGGTAGGATGGTAGTAGACATGGTAGAAGTAGTGTGGTGGTAAGGTGGTAGTAGAGATAGGATGGTGGTAGACATGGTTGAAGTAGTGTGGTGGTAGGGTGGTAGTAGAGGTAGGATGGTGGTAGTAGAGGTAGGATGGTAGTAGTCGGGTTGGATGGTGGTAGACATGGTAGAAGTAGTGTGGTGGTAGGGTGGTAGTAGAGGTAGGATGGTGGTAGTAGAGGTAGGGGTAGGATGGTAGTAGTAGAGGTAGGATGGTAATAAACATGGTAGAAGTAGTGTGGTGGTAGGGTGGTAGTAGAGGTAGGATGGTGGTAGACATGGTAGAAGTAATGTTGATGTTGTAGGCTGGTAGTAGACATCGTAGAAGTAGTGTTGTTGCTGTAGGATGGTAGTAGAGGTAGGGTGACCGAAAAAAGGTGCAATTTTGTAATAGCATAACTATTATTAAGTCATCAATATATACACTTGATAGAATGCAAAATTATATATTCGGTCATCTTCTTGACAGAAATTACCTTGACTTATCAATCTCGCGATAAGTGATGCGAACGAGGGGAAAATAAATTATGGCATAATTTCATATCGATATAAAAATACAATAAATCAGGCAATATTTGAGCACCATGCTGCTCGAATCATAACCATATTCGGGCAGCGAATACCCCCAAATATCGTCATGTCATCATACGGTGCTATTCATGGACTTCGCTGTCTGCAGCTATCCCGTTTCTAAATTTTGCGAGCGAGAGAAGCGAGCGTGGAAAGACACTCAGCTTTCTCTGAAATGTTAGTCCATAGTGATATATATTTGGATATCTTGCGGTTTCTGATACTTTGTTCCACTTTTTATAGGAGTGCTTACATTTTCAGGCTTCCAAAAACATAGAATTTCATTTTGAATATCATTCATTACAATGTAAGAAATTTGTGCTGATTCTTAATTGATTATTAATTGATTAAGAAAACACTAAATGTTTAACTAGATACATGCATTATGAATATCATAATTGTCCCAGATCCCCATAGTCAGCAAACAACTCTCAAGCATTCAAATAGTATTGCTGAGCCTGATACTACCGTAATCTGGCTCACACATCTAAAACAAATCAGACGAAAATAAATTACTCGAACTACAAACTGTTTTTCTTTATCAGGCTGTAGCGCTTTCCTTACCACAAGATTTAATAATACTTTCACACAAAAAAAACATATATATAGATATATATATAATATATCTCAAACAGATCAAGGCCTTTCATACAGGCCTTAACATTTCACACATAATTTCCCAGCAATAGCACTATATTTTCCCACAAAGCATGTGAAATATAAATCACAATGTTTTAATCATTATTAGTCGAGATGCAATTAAGATTAAGATTTAAATTGTATTATACTGCATTACAGAAGACAATGAAATCAAACAAATGATTAAAATATAAAAACTCTATCAGCGGTATCAGCTGTATATCTTTTATGTCAACAATATACAGCCATAAAGTGATATATTCCTTTACAATGATACATAATGATTATAATGATAAATATGAGAACAATCTATCTACATGTAATGAACTATTTAAGAACAGGCAATTTACATCAACACAGCCTGTTCCCTAGGTCACATAAAATAGACAAAACAAATCAACAAAACAAATCATTAAACATAAAACTATACTTAGATAATAAGCGAGGATAATGACTTTCAATTTAATCATGTCCTACAAGAACCTCACATTTTTAACATGGATGCCGTTTCTATTATACATTAATACAGCTTATACAATTTTAACTACATGTATAGTCAAAATTTAATCTATTACAATGAATCATGATTTCAATGACACAGTAGGACTTTGTTGAAATCAAAATGTATTGGGATACATTTTTGTGCGGGATGATATTTCAAAAACCGGTTTTGAAATAAATTGCAGAGCAATTAATAGACAAATGGCATCACAATTTTATTTAACATGGCCAGCCAATCAACAAAGCACAAGCTATTTTCAAAATAGCAGATTTTTTTCTTATTCAAAAATACAAAAATATCTTTTGATTCTATACATATTGATGGGAAAAAACATTATAATCTGCAGCAAATGACAAAACCTTCATCATCAAATGTTAGCCTTAAAGTATAGCAAATTAGATATGAAACATACAATCAGAATCAACAAAATAATTCACATGCATTATATTTTTGCTTTTATATGCAGAGTTACAAAAAATGGGTAAAAAATAATGTTTACAATAACAAAAAATTAACCAACAAATACACTTTGCAATAAGAAGTGTAAACTTTCATAATGTAATCAAATTCTATGCACAAATCTTTAAGTGCCTTGTCACAAATTAATTTATTCTCCCACTATGAATAATTGTATTTTGATAGTCAGAATGCGCATTGCATATACATTACGTGTTGTTAGGTAGGACAAGCCATGTTTGTCCTACCTAGCAACAATTCTTGTATGAAATTTGCACCCCCAAAAAAATAATTATACGATAAATTTGATTACATTACGAAAATGGTCTATACAAATTATTGTTACGAGCATGTGAACTTCCTAAAAATTAGATAAACAAAATAAATACCGGTTAGTAACTAAATAAATTCAATGAGATAAACATCTCATTCTGAAATTCCAGAATCACGATTTTAATTACAACAATCATGAGCAAATAGAAAGAAAAAAAGAGTAATATTTGAGACTAATATCAGGATTATTTTCTTTTTGAACTCATTAGTGACAGCGTGTGTTTTTATGAGAATCATTCACAAGTATAAACTACATTAATGACTATCATTAGGATCTATGATTATGAGCTGTACAAAGTCCATGTATTTAAATTCTCATTTGTACATTGAAACTGATTACAGTAGTCAATTAGGCAAACCTGATGATTGTATTTCATTGATGGATGATAGCCTTACTTTTAGCTTCAATCAGACCAAACTTCAAGTAAGAGGATTAATACTCTTCATATTTCATTATCCATTGTACTCAGTACAGTCAAACTGAACATAAATGAACATCTAGGACTTATAAACTATGCCAACATATAATGAAGATTTGTCAATGACTAAACATATTACAGGTGATAACCGACAGCAACATACAGACAACGGCACAGAAATTGGTCTACCCAGGTAAAAACCCTGCAACGCTCCTTTAGTTGAGTGGTTTGAACACAAAACTGCAGAGCGTGGGTTCGGCAATGCATTCATCCACATGTCCCACTCTCAATCTATGAGTAAGTAAGTGGGTTGGCTACTTGATAGGAGGGAGATTGTTGGTGTTATAACATGAGCCATGGTTATATTTAATTTCATGTACATCAAGAATGGTGGTTATGAGCACTATATGCATGTGCACATGATAACAATGATTATTAGGGTCAGTTAAATTAAGGCAATGACTTATGGAATTAATAACAACCCATGAGTGCCACACACCTCACTACAATCCCGACACTATATGACCACAATGCATGTCCTCATGGCAGAACATTCTTTCTTTCAGTTCATGTTTACTAGAATTGACTCCTTTCTTTGCAAACCAAATGTCATAATATGACAATAGAGGTTGGCACTCACAGTTCCATGAATGAGGTTTGACAGAGGTTAAAGCCAGCTTTCTATAATACCTTGTATTATAATTACCTTTTACCTAATATCCCAAAAGGAAGAGACCAGAATGAAAAGTCAATATAAAACTGAGTAGTGAACTTTAATGCTTTTCCGCGTGGGTGTAGAAGATTTCCATTAAAACACTTCCTTGTTTCATAGAGGGGGAAAAGATCAGTGCAGTTATAGTGCTATTAGGCCTTATTAGGCAAGAGGAACACAATTCTTTTCTCATGACCCATATATGGTAGAGCTAAACATAAAACAAAATTGCCCCTGATGCTAATTTCTATGTACAAAAGGGGATAATTTTCTATGAGGAACTTATATGAAAAATGATATGATACAAAGGAACAGATTCAATGAATATGGAATGGTTCCATTGAGTTTGTATACTTATGACACTGCTTATTATTACTTACTATCGTAATATGCAGGAACTCAAAACAAGAATATCCCAAAAGTTCCTGAAACCCTCATAATAAGAAAGCAAGAATTGTAGTTTGATTTTTAGTTAAAATATTTACCACAATTTCGTTTAGACCTTTTTTTTGGAGGGGGGGGGGGGGAGGTGGGATAAATATCCTGAACATCAAGACCGTCAGAAGAACATGGGAGTTCTGCCCTTATATAAATATTGACTGGCAGACTTGATTTCGTTTTTGAGACAAAATAGACAAGCCTGAGGAAAGAGCTAATGAGAAAAAGAAAACCAAGAGTAAAAAAGAAAGGTTAATAATTTATCAGGAGAATGAGAACACCATTTATATCTCATTGCATCATGCCTGGTAGCGTGACCAACAGCACGTATGATTCTCTCCTCTCCATGATGAATCTTCACAAAAATTCACCAAAAACTTTGTTGGCACATTGTCAATGAAATGAGCCAAGATGATTGCCTCTAGGAGTAATGCCTTTGTTTTTTCGATCATAGAAGCCCTTCAAATAATAGTGAGGACACACTGTTTTTCATTATCCTAAAAAAAAAAAAAAAACTTTTTTACACCAAAGAAGGTCATTCCTTTGTGGTTCATGTGTGAAGACATTTAAAAAAAAAACTTCAAAAATTTAAAGTACTGGTAAGGGATTCACTATTTTGTGCGCTATAAGAAACCATAAGAAAATATGCTTTCTGTGCATCTTATAAACCAATATACAAAACGAATGCTATCTTGTTAAGAAATATGATCTTAATGGGTAATTGTTTTTTGGATGAGATACTGCATCTGACACTTAGTATCAACTTGGCATCATTTCATTTTTCAATTATGAAACATTATCTCTAGTAGATCAAGTGTGTACATGTGTATGCCAGAAACTTGGCCGATATCAAACCATGCTATACTTGTAAGAATAAGTATGTAAATAACAACTTCACCATGACATGTTTTTGTGATACACTTCATGCCTTGCCTTGCACGGCAACTATTCTCCGAACAATGTCCAAATATTTCCAACAAGGAATTCTCCACAAAGGTCTGTTTAGTTCAGAGCCAGAAAGGCATTAAATCACAAACTTTAATACAGAGATAACATCATTCTGCTCTCAACAGATGACATTTAAAAAAAAACCATGATTTTCCATTCCATCGTTGTTGCATCGAGTTAACACTGCTTGGAGATACTGTCATTTTGGTTGGTCTCTCACATCCTTTTGGCTGTGACCTTTGGTGTTTCCTAGGCCAAACCACAGCACTAATAGCAATGCCAGATACAGGAACAAGGAACTGTAGTAGATACAGGTGGGTGAAGTCTGGTGAAGAGACTAAAGCAGATATGCAATAGAACCTAACTAGCTCTACTTCTACCATAGCATGAGAAGACTTCAAAGATATTTTCACCACATATATAGTACACTCTTGTTTCCAAAACATATATAAAATATATATAAAATATATTATAGGATTGATTTTGGGGCATGCATTATCATGAGATATAGTACCTTTTGGTATTAATTGAGAGGGGAAAAATATGTACACAATCAAATAGACAGTGATTTGTTGTTATAACTCTGATTATATCTGTATGTAGTGGACTTTTAGTAAACAGCTTCTTGGTGATAATCTGTGCATGAAAGAATTACACAAACACATTCTATTTTCTTATATTTTTACCAATGGTAGGCTATTATTGAACATGGGCTTTTATACAAACGATTTTAAACATATCAAAAGTTGCGATCGATCACCATCCATGCAATGGATTCATGCACCATACGTGCAGATGTAAATTGGTGCACCATATATAATAATAATAATAATAATAATAATGGCTTCAAGGACCTATAAAACATGAATAGATCTCCTTGCATTAATGAGGAAACCATAGAGAATAGAGAGTCTAAGAATAGAAGATTCTGTGCTAGCAAGGAGAGAAGGAAGCTCTCAAATCACATCAGTGCATCAACAAAACCTTTAAGAGATGATCCCGGATATATGTTTTAAGTTATCATGCAAACAGGATAAAAACTGAAAATTAAAAAAAAAGGAGAGAATAGAAAAACAATCAGAGCCATACTTGTTTCTTCTATCTTGTCCTTTCGAATCCATTGACATTATGGTTATTTCTGCTTGTTCTTCTTAATTGGAGTGATAATGGCAAGACACTAATTAATTTAGATGTTTTCTTCTGATGCGAGTCATTCATGACCTTGGTGTACTCCACTTAAATTGTACATGTACATGTATTTATCTGCAGCTTGACGTGTCAGAATTCTTTGTGAACTTCAACTGCAACACATTTCGGCGCTGTTTTCACGAAGTGACGGTAGTGGAAAAAAATTGCATTCACTTTGCGTGTAGATTTTCCTCACTACCGTCACTTCGTGAAAAAAGGGACGATTTAAACCCTATAGAATATGCAAAATTTGGAAAGAAGTGCAATGGTTATGGTTATGGTTATGGTTATGGTTATGCACTACCTACAATTCACATGCACTCAAATGAGAAGCTAAATGCACAATACCATCCAGGTAACTTAAATTTCTTTACTTCTCTACTATTTTCACTACATTGTTATATTTGTACATTGAATGTAATGTTCCTCTGTTCATTGTACATGATTGTGATTGCTGTTTTCAAGCTTCAAGTGTAATGAAACCAATCAACTTGAACATGTAGATGAATCGTATCATTTCCAAAATACTATGTGGTAGATCAACCATCAAATCATCTATACATTGGTTCAATTCATTTACCACATACAGCAATGCCCACACCATTACAAAACAAAGTATGCCTCAGGCCAAATATTTACCTTACATTATTTAAACCAACGCAAAGCCTATAATACTTTAATAAGTTACTCAGTCATATTTGATGGTTATTCTGAAATCAATTGCAGCCTTGACCTTGAACGGACTACTGGTTTAGAATAACAAGCAATCAAGCAGGACCCGCGAAGTATAGTACCTGTATATTATGGAGGCAGGCTGAGGCTCAAAACACATACTGCTTCATCTTGATCATTTAAAAAAAAAGTCTACTCCTCCAGACTTTAAACAAAGCAATAAGACTTGTGATATATTGTTTAGGTGGCATAGAAGTTCTCTGTTACTCGAAAAGCAGTCATCAGGGACTCATAATGCTATTTCTTTCTTTCTGATATTCCTTTCCAATCAATTTCATGCCCAATTTGAATTAAGTAGTTTTATGGTGGTTTCAGGGATACATCTCAAAGTAGAAATAATACATTTTGTTTGTTGACCGTAATTTCTTTTACCCTTGGCCTTGCCAAAAACTTATTTATTTGATGAAGTTCATCCTATTAACAATAAATGGAATCATAAAGTAATGGAGCTGGAATCTTTTAGTGGGATCAGTACGACATAACATACTATGGTCATTTCCGATAATAATTTCCACAGATTCCGTGATACATTTTCTGAAATATGCCAGCAAACTGCCGGTATAAATAGCATTTTCTGTGCAGGTGCTAGGCAATGCAGATTAGGGCTTCCTTTTTTGTTTGCTTTTGATTTGCTAGAAACAACATGTTTTGTAACAATTTTTTGCAATCAATTAGGATACACCTCTGTGTGATCATACACGCATAAAATATGTCATTGATAAGATATACTATTGAAGATACATGTCAGTAGAGACTGACTATTGATTGAATTACATCATTTCATTCAAGAAAATCAATTATTTGTTCAGTTTCAGTTATTATAATGGTGAAGGTACAGTTTGCAAAATATGAGCTTTTTAATCAATTTTCTCTTGCTTTTTGACTGCTATGATATCAAGTGGAACTTCATATTTATATAAAAGTCCAAAGTTCATCTTGAACATCACTGTTGGGATATCCAATTATCCATTATTGTCCAGCCCTACAATTCTGATAAAATAAAACTACAACTGAAATAACTCTGCAAGTCCAAAATGGCAGAGGTTTATTGGCATTATCAGAGGTCGCACCTCTTAAACACTGATGACCTTTGTATTGACCATATAAATATAGAGTGTCAAGGATTGATTTGTGCGTAATTATTATCAGTATGGGACATAATTATGGAACATATGTGCCGCTCTATAACACCAAACACATAACTTCTGCCACATCTTTTCAAGTGGAGGCGCGATGGCTCAGCGGTAGAGCAGTGGCCTCACAACGAGGAAATCCCAGGCTCAACGCAACGTCTATTCACTAGTAGTGCCCTTTCGTAAGGCATTGAGTCCATTACAAAGTCCCACAGAGAGGACTTAAAGCCAATGGTCCCCTGGTTGCTTAATCACAAGCATACACATGCTTTCTTAGCAGTCAGATAAAAATAAATCATCAAACCAAACCAATGTTGTCCGGATAGGCATATAAAATACCAATTTTGCATGTTTTTTCTGAGAGTAGACCATCTTTGTAACCCTTGTAAACTTTAAAAGGAAGTACGGGAAGGAAATTTCACTACAAAAGGAATTAATGGACTGAACCTGCTTGTTGATGCCTGTGGGCTGCACTATATTATACTCTTATTCCTATGTCATGTTTGAGGAATACATAGCTTGCATTTATTTGGATTTTAATTGAGGAAGGGTGGAGAAATGCAATATTGTTATTCACATCTTGCTTCATATATATATTTGTTTTATTTGTGGTTTGAATAAATAGACCAAAGTAAAAAAAGAAATGGGATTTTAGTGGATAATTTCTCCTCACTCCCTCCCCCTTTTTCTTGAATCCTTTAATTCTCAGCTGGATACATACAGTCTTTGGAAAAAAGGGTAAATGCAGTGCAATCAAATAGTGCTGGCATGCATTAAGACATGCTCATGAGTCATGCTGAACAAACAGAGATCAAGTAAAAGTTCAGAAGTAACCAATAGTCAATATTGGCATGTAAAGTTTAAGAGTATTTCCTCATTGCCATACCTATCTTGTTTACATGCGAATAGGCATTATTTTCCCTCATTTTCCCCAATAGTAAACCAACCATAACAGGAGATGTGCTTTCCAGCACTATTTCACGTCCATATTATCACATCATAAAACAAGATATCTCTTGGAAGTAATCTCATATTCCTGACATTCCAAAACTGGTGTTCCGTATAGAATTTCTTTTATCTCTGAATATCCAGGACCAATTACATAAATTCGAAGAAATTCAATAGAAAATGACTTTAAAAATGCAATTGTTAAACTGAACTTAATGACTTTTTGATATCCTACAAATTATGCCAGTTTCACAAAGCACTTTGCATTATCATTGCTGTATATGGGCATATTGTTGTGATTCTGTGACACATTTTTTTTCTTGTTTTGACTGATAAAAAGTGACAGAAGAAAAGGCCCCTCAACCGAATACATCTATTGTTTGAAAAGAAAAGATTACCACTTCTGAACTCTACTTGATCTCTAGGGAAAGATTCTGATGCTAACCTACATGTATAACGCATGGAGACGTCACTCATAAAGTGACAGTGTTGGAACGTGAGAAGTTATTGAGCCAACCTAATAGTAAGGGGGAAAAATGAAAAGAATATCAATGTTAGGCATGATAAATATTGTTTTAAAAAAAAGCATCCAGCGCTTTACATGAGGTGTGTATTACATGTATAAAGAAAGCATTCTATTGGTTGAAATGCTTTCTTTCACATGATAATCTATATGATGAAACGGTCTGTAATTTGTGTTTGGAGCCAGAAGGGCGTTAACTCATATACAGTCAAACCTGCTTTAGTGACCACCTGTCTACAAAGACCACATTTGTTGTTTCCCTTGAAAATGTTTTCTCATTGAATCATGTACTAAAGGAACCTGTCTACAAAGACCACTTTTTGTGTTTTTCTTGGGCGGTCGCTATAGACAGGTTTGACTGTACTTTGAACTCAGAGAGCACCAAACAGACGAAGGTATGCAAAGGCATACCATAATGTTCTTGCATGCTGTATACGGTGGATAGCATATAAATATGTATCATCCATGTTTCTCTATGCATACTCAGAGTTATTTGCTGCACAATTTGATATGGAAGTTCACCAAGGCTGTACTCGAGTGTAATTTCTCGAGAGGAAACAAGGTACGGAGTAATAAATAATGTCAATTATTTAAGACGAATATTGCATATGATCATTCTATGTCACGTATACTTCCATCTAGAAGAAGTTATCACGTACACATATAGTTATATGAGAATCGTATATCTATACAATAAAAAGCAGTTACCCCCTTTCTAGTCTTAACATGATATGAAGAAACATCGCACAAAGAAATGCATATTTGAGCGTCGGTTCAAACAAGAATCCGGGTCTATCTCTGGACATTGTATCGCATAAAAACTTATATAACTTGGGCACGGCTTTTCATGAGTTCACACTGATGATGGCCAAGCATTATGTCAACTGATCTCTTTAAAACGTCTTTCTTCATATGACGTTTCTTTGTACAAATATCATTCAAATTTTCTTAAGTCTGAACAGTTTATAAATGAAGAATTTCCCTCATGCCATAATATTTCAACCTACAAGCTGCAGTCCTACAATCAAATCTCAAAGGTCGAAGTTGTTCATTAATAAAATTAAAAAACACTCCCGGTATGCAAATAATAAATAATATTGAATTGTTTGTTCTCGTTGGCTATGTACACATGTATACAGCCCTACTTTGTGGATGATTGGTGAATCAATTTTTAGAATTATCAAAATTATGATTTGTGTACTATTGCATGATGACAAAATGGGATTAACTATTGACTTTCACTAGCAATAGTTCATTCTAGTATCTCCCGTTCTGATTGGTGGAGTCAAACAATGACGTGGGGGATAGGATAAATGTATACGAGCATGTTTTTGCTGCTTGATCTTATAAATGAAGCCTTCTTCATCAAGGTTTTGCATATATTGGGTTTCAGAAGAGCTACACGTAGTTTGTGTAAGTTACAAATAGAAAATACATATTGCCTGATGACCTTCATTATAGACTGAAACACATGATACATCCACATGTTTTGTCATGACATCTTGATTGAATGTTTCTATGACAATATGAATATTCATGAAAAGATTTTTTTTTTTACTAGAGGCTAGACAGTTTCATTTTCATTCCAACAAATGCGATGAAGAAAAAAAAATCAACTTTCATTTTCCAACAAACCTAAAGGAAATGTATGGTGTAGTAAAATCCTGTTAAATACAGTTATTTAAGCAACTTTGCTATATTGGCTGCAAGCCGCTGCATACACTGAATATTGTTGGAATTGTCTAGTCAATTACAGCATTTGATTTGTGCATTCAATTTAGATTGTTAGACTATCTTGTTTTGTTTCTACATTTATGCTTGATTTCACATGTTACTTTGTAGTGTAATGCTACCTACTAATCAACTCATGGATGTTTACATGTTAATATAAATATAATATCATTGGAGAAGTCCTCTCATTACATGACAATATCATCTCTTATAAAACATTGATTGCATTATATATGTATTAAAGTAGTTGTACATTGTTTGATGTATATATTATATTTGGAGGAAATAAAGCGAACAAGCTTTTTGTCTATGTACATGTACCTTACCAGCAGACACATTATAGGCAGCTTTATAATGATGCACTATAGTACTAGGTATACAACTGAGAATGTCTTCTCTGAAAATCTCCTCCCCATTCTCCCTTCTTATCCTAATCTAAATACTTCTGAGCTTCTATGCTATCAATAGAAATGTACTGTTTCAACAGTCATTCAGCCAAACAACAGTTTTATCCAGAAGCTTTCGATCATAAGGAGCTAGTTGTTTTTTGTTGGTATAGTTATTCAGTATGGCTCAGTAATGCTGATGAATAAACTACATCAACACAATACTTTATGGACTTGAAGTATATAATAAGAAGTACTGATTTAGATTCTGTACAAAATGGAAAGTGTATAAGTGTATTCGTATTTTGTAATGTTCTAGCATGTAAAAAATTACACATGAGCTGATGATACTGTACAATGTAGGTTGTGTTACCTGTATTAGAAAGCACTCTTTGTATAAATTTACATTTGCGATGGAGCAAGTAATATCAAAAGCTAGTATATGATGCCAGCATGTCCCCCAAACATACAAGAGCAGAACATATGACTTTGGGGTGATTGTTTCCCTGTAACCTGTAATTGTGACCTATCTACAAAAATATTCTGAACAAGTAGAGGATTACAACCAGAACTGACCTTCCACTGAAACCCTTATCAGTTAATATTTGTGGCCAGCTTATTCCACAATCTGCATAAGATTATTATGACCCTTCCCGATAATATGGGATACCATCAAATACAATTCTTCAAATATTTTCAGCACAATAAATGGCATGCATCGCTTACTGTTTTCACAGTAAAGGGCAACTACATATAAACCAAGATGAAATTGAGTTCTTTTGGGGATTCACAATCAAAATGAGACTTCTAAAAGGGATCGTTAAAGAAGATGTTTTTACACGTAGCAAAATTCCTGAAAAGTGTCTCTTCTGGAAAAAATAAGGTTTTTCTATCACTAGATAATCAAATGATTAGGTCTTAGTATTTCCTTATAAATTTGCTGGGTAACACAGAGGTATTGAAGGATAAGCAAATTATTGTAAATGCTCTATGTATGTATTTGGACCTGTTGAGAGACAGAAGGATATTAACTGTATGCTAGATGATCATAAAACTTTCACATCCTTTTGGCTACTAGCAAATGATCAAGTCAAAGAGGAAGCTAGAGACACAAATAATATTTCCTGTACATAAAAAGGAAAGACCAGTGAGAAGATAACGAGAGAGAGAGAGAGAAAGAGAGAGAGAGAGAGAGAGATAGAAAGAAAGAGATGGACAGAGAGAGAGAGAGAGAGAGAGGGGGTGCTATATAAAGACACCATTGTTCACTATTTCTGGTAATAGACCTCACTTTGTTGGCGCTACTTGATTTTGTGTGAAAGTACTGCAACATTATGAGAATTTAAATGTCATGGTTGGTTGAGAAATATGAAGATATGATGGATTGAGAAATATGAATACATGATTGATTGGTAGATGTCCTGGCTTTCTGATTGTTTGATAAACATGCAGTTCCATTTCCTTATAAGTTTTGATAGCTTAAAATGTATGTAAGTCTCTTGTCCATTGTGTATACTATGAAGTCTGAAAGTTAGATGAGAGTTTACTCGGTCAAGGTATCAGGAAAACATTAACATTCTAGCTCTGTATATCCACATCATAATACTAGATCAAAAGGCAGCAGATTAACAACCCCAACTACTCAAAATTTAGAAGAACAAATGGTCCTGCGAATCAGTCTTTAGAACCATTAAAATATCTGCAAGGGGGGGGGGGGGTGAAATACATGTACACTTTCTCTGCAAAATATAAATATTGCTTTACAGAAAAAATATCAGATGTAATTTGTCTAGCAAATGTAGCAATAAATGTGGTATGAAATGGGTATTCATGACCATATAATAGATACATGTATGCTATTTTAAGAGCAAAACATACAATTAATATTATAGAATGAAAAAAGAAAGAAAGAAAAAAACTCCAACAACAGCCATTGAAAGAAAAAAACCTGATGTGTTGAGGAATTATCTTAATAAATCAAGGCTGCTATTTTTGCTGAAACCATGCATCTATTTGGGTGGTAATAAAGTACATACATGTACATTAGATGCCTGAAGGATTGGGTGCAGTTAAAGACTGCATGATCTCAAATTTGATCACCCTCAAGCAACTTCGTACAGATTTTCATCATAACCAAAATTAGCATCATTTGCCTCTGCATATTCTGACTCCTCTGGAACTGTTGAGGGTGGGTACGAGCTGACAAGGTATCCAGTATCTCCAGGTGACCCTCCTGAAGGTGCATCCAAGCTCAGCGTATCATAGGCATCCTCTGGGACTCCTCCTACAGGACTGCTACCAGGTTGAGTGCTTCCAGTCTGACCACGGTCAAGGTGGTCATACAACATGTAATCATCCTCTTGTGGAACAGCCTTTGCGGCTACTGCAGGAGCCGTTTTGGGTGCAACGGCAGGTTTGGCGTTTGGAAGAGGAAGACGTGGGGCAGCGGTGGAATTTCCAACCTTCTGTCGTGCGAGATGATCGTAGATATGACCATGATCAGCAGCCTCTGAGTAAACTTGTTGAGCATCTGCTGCTGTTGATCCAACTGCTCCCGGAGGCTGATCCAAGGAGGAATATAATCCAGGGTCCTCACTTTCATCTAAGAACACAGCTGCCAACTCACTATTCAAAGTATCTCTTTTGGAGGAAGACTTCTCACCAGAACTGTAAGGGACCCTAGATTTTGGCACAGGTTTAACTCCGTTGCTCTTCCCATCAGATGTCTGTCTCCTATTAAGCTGAGGCCACTGCTTTGGTGCTGGTTCAGTAGCCACATCATAATGCTGCTCCGGCTCAAAGTCTGTCGGGGGAGCTCTCCGTGTCGTTGGTGATGGTAGTTTCTTTGAACGATCAACTGCTTCATCAGAAACAGAGGAGTAGCATTCGTCAAGCGGTTCACTCTTGCTGATATCATCCACAGACTGTGCACCACGATTTGAAAATGGTGGACGGCTAGCTGGCTTCTTTAGTGCAATGCCATGGGATCCTGCAGAGTGGGTTCTGTCACGTGGTAAAGGTAAAACTTTTACACCTTGGGCCTTTATACCTGTGCTTACTTTGGCTGTTTTGAGCTCAGTTGAAACTGGAGTAAATGAAGGTGGTCCTTGAGGGGCTGTTGGTGGTGTTGTTGGTATACTTGACGTTGAAAAATTCCTACCGGTCATTGCAGAAACATACGACTGGATAGCATGAAACACTTCGTTTCCATCCTGGACATTGAATCTGATCAATCCCTCCCCTGAAGTACACCGCCTACCTACTTCCATGGAGAAGGAAGTTTTTTCTCGTCCATATCGCCTTAGGTATCTGTAAGGCCATGAGAAGAGATTCTTTCCAGTGGAGGGTTCTATCAGTGAGAGCTTCATTGAGTCAAGTTGCAGTGCGTAACTTCCACGCAGATTTAATGAGTCCGTGAAAGGGTTTGATTTGATTGCAACTGGAAAGCTTTTATCTGTTAAGGCAAACCAAGAAGAGAAAACATACATTAAATGTCTACCATGCCTGCATCATGAAAATTCGGACCTGTATGATTGTAGATTTAAAAGTCATTTCTTGATATTTATTATCATCTGCATCAGTCAAATAAAAGATGTAAATGGGTATCTTGTAAAAAAATAAGCAACAATGATAATTAAACAAATTAGAAACGGACTAATCATTAATCTATAAATCCTTCTGCTTCCCTATTTGATATCATAAAACTCTGTAAAGAAGATCTTGAATCATTGTAGAAAAAGAAAAGAGATGGTGCTATCGTTAAATTCAAATCCAACTGGATTGAAAAGGGAGAGAAGAGTACTCATTATTTTTCAAATTTGGAAAAGAGAAATCAATGACAAAAATTAATCACAACATTTATAATGAAAGGAACAACTTATTAAAAATATGAAAGATATTATTCATATCAAAGATTATTATGAGTAGATTTACAATTCCTGTGAACCTCCATCAGTCTGTATTGAAAATGTTTTACCTCAAGAGTGTCAACATAACAAACTTCCCTTGCATGCAAGAGAACAATGAGAAGGTTTAATAACTATGAAATAATGTTTTGATACACTTAAAACAATGAAGAATAACAAAACTTTCTCAAATTTGTGGGTATGAAAATGACGTTTCTCCCCCCCCCCCTTTTGCATATATATCCTAATTAGATACTTAAGGAATTTACTGTTTTAATCCTTGAGTTTAATGAACACTCTTCATTACGTTTAAAACAAAATTGTGGCTGCTTTTGTCATTTCCAATTTCTTGGTAGCTTTAAAAAACTTACATATAATAATGGAATCCACTAAGTTTCAGAAATTCAGAAAATATCAACAAATTGAATTGTTTTTTTCTTCTAACAGGAAGTATACCATAAAAAACAATTTTCTGACTAAATTCTGAATTGAAATTAATAATGAATTTGAAGGAAGCAAAAAAAATTACCAAATTTAACTTTCAAACATTACTCAAATGTAATATGTACATACAACATAAATGTACATTGTAATACTACTAATAAGACATTTTTATGTTCTGATATGTTTTTTAGTATTTCTGTGAGCTTTTGCTATGATATTCAATTTCAAATTAATTATACTTACTATCACAAGAATCATACAAGAGATTGTCCTGTAGCTCTGCGTCCCCTTCTAATCTCCCTGTATTGTCTGACTTTCCCCCTCCTCCACCGACTCCTACAGCTCCTCCTCCCCCATCTCCTCCCCCATCTCCAAAGAGGTGGTCGTGCCTCAAGCCTGCCGCATCATGCATCTTAGCCAGCCATTGCAACAAAATGTCTGCATTATCTCCTGCGAGTAGATGAACTTTGTCTTCCATGCAGGTCACCTCAAAGGTGTGGTCTTTGTTCTTGTATCCTGCAGGCATTGACTCAATCCTGCACGTGTCATTCAGCTTGATCTGGACTTTCTTGTCTTTATCCACCAGAGTCAAGACGCCATATTTCACTTGGGATGTTGGCTTTGCGATCTTGGCTGTGTTTTTCACCCATTTCTTCAAGCCTATTGAAACCTATTGAAAAAAGGGTGAAAAAGCATACATATTTTATTTTAATGATGGAATGAAAAATTGTCATATTTGGTGTAATAGGAAAGAAAACAAATTGCCCTTTGACACGAGTAATATAAATTCATTATAGATTCTAATCATAAATTATCATCTGATAGTTATCAAATGCGGTCCCTTTGACCCCGGAGTTGGGGGGGGGGGGGCTAGGACAATGCATACCAGATATCTGATTTGATTTGATTTGATTTATTTACCAACAGCAATACATTTCATACAATAATTTAAATATAAGAAGAGAAACTATTGGTTGGTAAAAGGGGCCAGATAATAGCACATATGTGCTAGTCGAGCCTGACCCCTTAAACAGCTTCACACAGTATTTTGGTACAAATCAGTTCTGTATGGTCTTTCACTTTTGACGGCAACGCAAACTTAATTAACGGTCACCATATTTTTTTAAAAAGTGGAGCTGAATTGGTATGATCGTATTGGCTAAATTTCACACATTTTGGGGTCTAAAACTACCTTCATAGCAATTTTAGGTTCTAAAAGGGCACTAGAAATGTCATAGATACGAATAAGAGAAATAACCATGCACTGTGAAGGCATTTGCGGTATGAAAACAGAACTCAACTATCCCTTTAAACAAATTTATGATTTCTGTGATCTGTCCAACTGTGGTGTGGCAGGATCCTAAATCCCCACTAGCTAAGACCCTGCCCCCCCCCCCCCCGCCAAATTACAGACAATCCTGGATCTACATGCCTCTTGATTATTACTCTACTAAGTAGCATAAATTTCAAAAACACGACTGAAATTCAATGAAACTTCCTTGTATTCTGTTTTTCAATTTTCAAGTTGTTTGCCTTTCTTCCTTGTGTGTGATTACACCCTGTATATACATAACGGAATAGTGATGCCTGGGAATTAATTCAATATCTAATGGGAAAAACACTCACCCAGATTTATTATCACTAGCAAATGACAATCTTTTCAATCAGTATAAAATAATGTTGCCAACAAAATCAATCATATATGTAAAACAATACTGCACATGTATATCTGATTACTAATTATTACATGTACATTAACTCATTATACATGTAGTTAACCCTAATTTATTGAAATATAACTTCAAGTCCTTCATTTGAATTCCTACAAGAAAATGGACATAGTGTGTAGCACAATTATATGAAGAGTTGTTCCCATTTATGTCACAAGGACACAACATTACCAAGGCACCACTTATATTCTGGATACAATATGGTTAGAGCTCCCTATTAATAACCATACAGTTAATGTACATGTACATGATGCACAGTGCAATATTACAAGTAGACTGAAGACAATTTTGGGAAGATCCATACTTAACAGGTCTTATAAAGCAGCACACTGACATTGCATTACTTACAAAAGTATGAACAACTCTTTGATTGGGAATGGCGAATGGGAGATAAAAGAAAATTACATTCACTGTAAATTCAATACATGATTAACATTTCACTAAACATGTTCTTGGGAGCACCCTCCTGGCAAATATCCCTGTTCTAATTCTTAAGTGGCTCGGAGTTCAGGTATAAACTGAAACTGGGAAACAGGCCCATTAAAACAAATTAAGTTTGTGATATAGACCTCAAGAAAATAAAGGCTTATAATTAAGTTTAATTACCAATCATTACAAAAAATAGACAGTACAATACATTTCATGATCTGTTGACGTATAGTTTCAAGATAATAACAGGTGTAGACAAATGTTAATGACATAGATAACGCATAGAGAATGCGGCATACTATACTACACATCACAATACAAACCCGGAAATGGTATTGGTATAATACCGTGCATGTAGTATACTGCGCTCGCAAAATAATGTCTCCCCGCTAATGCACAGGTGCGTTAACAACACTACCTCTCTCTAGACGAAATCGAAAAACAATACATAATTTGTTTCTAAAATGTTGTTTTACCTTCTGATATCTCCACAAAGTGCCGTCCATGATTTGAAGTGAAGCCTAGCCCAGCTAGGCTACAGCTTACATGCAGTATGTTCCGTCAATTCCACAGAGGAAGAGGAAATTCGTCAGCTTTAGTCGTTTAGATTGTACATGTACTTTGTTTCCTTTGGAGCGGTCTCAAACTTTTGTACACATGTTGCGTTCTGTTGAAGGACGAACGAGAGTTCTTAGGGGGTGGGGTCGCTACTAGTAGCTAGGGTGGGATCGCTAATAGTTGTATAGTCTTTGGCACAGTTTTTTTGTGTGTGCAAGTGAGTTCCGTGTTTCGACGAAGTACGCCCACGCCCATTTATCGCTCACTTGATGAGAGGCTTGAGAGCAATATCAATATGCATATGTAGCCTGTAGCTGAAGAGTTTTTAACATTCACGAAGCTTACTAAGGCCCAAAACTTTTGTGTTTACTCTAGACAGTATACAAATTAAAATGAAGTTAAAGAACTGAATGACTCACTATATCACAATTATCACCAGACTCCAGTGTCGTAATGAGCAATTTTTTTTTTTTTTTTTTTTTTTTGGGGGGGGGGGGGGGGGGGGGGTCAGAAAAAAATCTTTATCATCACCAAGTAGCATAATGCAGGGGCGGCGGAGCGTCTTCCAAAATAAGGAGGGGGCACCAACAAAAAGGGCACTTTCTGGAAAAAAGGGCACCTACAAAGGGAAACATCAACAAAACCTACACCAGTTTTAGACATTGGTATATACCCCTACATCGTCATACTACCAGGGATGATATATCTTTTTCTTTCGTGGTAGGGCCTACAATATACTGCTTGATTAAGCAACATACTTTGCAGTTAGGTGTGATGGTCTGACTATAAATTTTGAGCGAGCGAAGTGAGCGAGCAAAAATGTTAAGATTTGTAAGGTCTCAGTGCAAACAAAAATTACATCTTATAAAGAAGACCCCAACAACCCTGATGAGTACAAGGACAATCTAATGAAGAAAGACTGAAAAGTTCTTTTTATAAGTAACATCATTATAACATCTGTAAATGCGAGCGAGCTCTACAGAAAATCAAAGAATAAATGACTCTAAGTCGCCTTAAATTAGTGGTGCATGTTATGGAGAAAGGAAAAGGTGCTCTTGTCAAAGTAAAAAAGGGCAATTATCAAAGCCTTCAGAGGTGAAAATGGCACTTCTTGCACCTGAAAAAGAACATTCAACAGAAATTACACTTGTGAGAATGAAAATGGGGAATCTGTTGTAGGAGAAGGGCACCTAACAGATTATGATAGAGGCATTAATCAGATGTTGAAAGGGGCCTTTTGGAAAGGGAGAGGGGCTCATATAAAAAAGGAAAAGGAGCATTTATCCGAAGGAAATATCGTACCGTACTTATTAGAAAGGAAAAGGGGCAGTTGTCAAAATAGGAGGGGTACTTATTAGAGGTGAAAAATGGCATTCAAGTGAAAGTGGAGGGGGCTCTCATTAAGAAGGGAAAAGTACACTTATCAAAAAAGGAAAAGGGGCACGAGTCAAAGCAAAAAAAAGTGCAAAAATATCAGAGGTGAAAAGTGGAATTTCTGAAAATACCTGTAAAAAGGGGCTTTTTGTGGGTACTTGTACAAGTGTGTGGCACAGATAGTGCCCCCCCCCCACCGGGAGTGCCGCCTCTGGCATAATGAGCAAAAATGACAGAAAAACCCGGAAAACATGTCATTTCAGCAACATTTGTAAATTATCACTAGGCAGTATCGAATTAGAAATAAACCAATTTTGAATTTTATTTGGGGGTCAACTGCCCCCCCCCAAGCCCCCCATCAGTACACCAGTGATTATCACTTATTCATAAGCAATGCAATGTAATTCTTTTAGCTTGTAACCAGTAACCACTGGCGTACCTGAGGGGGGGCAAGGGGGGCAGAGTGAAAAAGGGGGAAGGGGAAAGGAAAAAAAAGGAGAGAGACAAAAAGGGGAAAGAAAAGAAAAGAAAGGAAAGGGAAAAAAAAGGAAAAGGGGAGAAAAAAAAAAAAAAAAAGAAAGAGAAAAAAGGAAAAGGAAAAAAAAAAAGGAAGAAGAAGAGAAAAGGAAGAAAGAGGGAAAAGAAAAGGAAGAAAGAGGGAAAAGAAAAGGAAAGAATTTGAAAAATGCAAAAGTACCCTCATGACCAGTTGGTCGCTCGAACTCCCTTCACTCCTTTTGCTTTTGAGTTTCTTCAAAAACTTTTTATGCATCTTTTCCCCCTCCCCCATCAGAAAAATATTCCGCATACGGCAAAGAAAAAGACAAATGAAAATAGGAAAATATAAGTGATATAACAAATTCGACACTCTTCGCTGGCGCGAGCTGCTTGCTAGCCTATTTTGTATTAATTGTTTTCACTTGCTCGTCCCCCTGAAAAAAAGAAAAAGGATTAGCATTGCCTAGAATACAATTGTACCTGCCCCGACTGGCCCCGACCTGCAACCATGGCAACTATAACACCCAGTTTATGTACCAAATGTTACTTCATTTTTCTTGCTCGCTACGCTCGCTCGCGAATAAATGAAATAGACATTGCTTTTAAAACAATTGTGCCCACCCTTGACCTGCAACAATATCATTAAAAATGGAAGTGTTTTTTCGCCCTCTCGCCAAAAAGGAATTAATATCGTGTTAAACGCGATTACGCCCATCCCGACCTGCACCAATAAAAACAAGTTTATGTATTAATTTCTATTAAAAGAGAATTGATTTTTTTTTTGCATCGCTATGATCGCTCACCAAAATGGAATTGACATTCCTAACAAAATATGTGCGCTCCCTTGCCTGCAACGAAAATCCCGGTAAATAAGTACCGAACGTTATTTTGAGATATGTTGTTTCCTCGCTCGCCAGAATTGATGAATTGATTGATTTTAGTGATTGATATATGAGTTGATTTGTTTTTTGTTTTACCCTCTCTTGCAACGCTGTCTTTACAATTAACATCGCTAACAAACATGCTCACCCAAACCTACAACAAATTACCAGTTGATAATTATGTACCAGACGTTAATCAAAGAAAATTTGGTTTCCTCGCTAGCTACGCTCCCTCTCCAATGTGGAATTAACATCACCTTAAACATGATTGTGTAAGCCCCGACCTGCAACAAAAAACCTGAAAATTATGCACCAATCATCATTAATTTTGTTTTGCCTGCCCACCAAAATGTGATTGACATTGGCTGAAATACGATTGTACCCTTCCCTCGACCTGCAACAATGACACAAAGTTTACGTACCAATTCATCGAGGACAATTGAATCAAGTATAATTGGCTATATTATTATTAAAAAAGAAGCGATTTTTTAATTCTTGCTCGCTACGCCCGCTCGCCAAAATGAAATTAACATCGCTAACGTTTTATATAGTAATGTTGTTGCAGGTTAGGGCGGGCACGTTAGCGATGTTAATTTCATTTTTGCTCGCTCGCCAAAACGGAATTAACATCACCTTAGACATGATTGTGTAAGCCCTGACCTGCAACAAAAAAACCTGAAATTTATAAACCAATTATCATTACAAAATTTTTGCTCGCTCGCTACGCTTGCTCGCCAAAATAGAAATAACATCGCTTTAAATAATCATGTCCCTGACATGGATCAATGAAATCAAGATTATGTACCATGTTCTCACCGTAGAGAAGTGATTTTTTCGCTCGCTAGCTCGTGGAATTATGTGCCCACCACTGACCTGCTACAATATCATTAAAAAGAGAAATGTAGGGGGGGGGGGGGTTGCCTGCCCGCCAAAATGGGATTGGAATTGCCTTACACACGATTGTGTCCGCCCCGACCTCCTACAATGAAACAAGTTTTATATAGCAATTCATTAAGAGAAAGTTGTATTTTCGCTCGCTATAGCTAAAATGGGCAAAAAATCACCCTAAACACAATATTGTTCCCGCACCCGGCATGGGACAATTGGACCAAGTTTAAGTGGCAAATATTAAAAAGAAGGGATTTTTTCCTGCTCGCGACGCTCGCTTGCAAAAATGAAATTAACGTGGCTAGCAAATGAATGTGCCCACCCCCGACTTGCAACAATACCGGTTTATATACCAAACGTTACTTAAAGATATTTTTTCGCCCGCTCGCTCGCCAGAAGTGAAAATTAGCATCGCCTTTTTTGTTTTGTTTCGATCGCTTGCCCCCCCCCCCTGACGGAGTACCCCAGGTACGCCACTGCCAGTAACCTGACATAATAACGAAATAACTACTCTCATAAATTGGATGATAGTAATGCATGATGCATGCCTATATAAGCCTACTCTACAAAACTGAGCAGGAACGGTTCTAGAAGAAAGGGGGGGGGGGGGACTCAGGGGCTCAGAGCGGTTCTTACATCCATTTTATTTTGCATATGCCTCAGGAAATTATATTGGGGGACTTGCAGATAATTTTCGAGGGGCTTCAGCCGACCAGCCCCCAATCAATTAACCCCTCTTTAGAATTTTTACATGAGTGCATTATAACTTAGTGCATTACCTTTTAATAATAATGGGCATTTTAGTTTCTTTTATTTAGTATTTTTTTAATATTCAAGTCAAACGTAATATCAGTTTATCATATAGGCGTACCCATGTTCTTAAAGGTAAAGACCAGTATTGGAAACGCCCCAATTTCAAAAAATGAAATGGAAGCTCTCATTACCAATCATGTGAAAGAATATGTTTTGACTAATACATGATGATAAAAAATTTGCCGGGAAACCGCCTACTAATTCATATATTTGGTAAATTTGTTTCTCTCATGGTCTGTGAGAGATATAGGGTAGTCCCATATACATCTTTCTGTGTATAGTGCTTTAAACTTTACAAAGAATGGGCCAAATTTCTTATCATTTTGATGATTCCAGAACCTTGCAGATGCTAGATGCTAGATGATCAACCTTTTCTGATCGATTCCACAACATTTCTTTCACAATGCAATCGCATGACCATAACTGGTCTTTACCTTTAATAACAACAAAAAAAACACGATAAGTTTTCAAAACTTAACTTGCTCAGTTACAGCTCTAGCAATTATAATTATGTCGAGGCCATAGAGATACTACTAATATCTCTATGGTCGAGGCCCACTTTATATGACATGCCAATTGAGGGCATAATACTGTCAATCATAGATCTGTAAAAACAAAGGAAACAACAAGATGTTTAAAATCCACATAGGCCTATGCAGTTAATATGCTCACAGGAGAGACATGGTTATTATATGTCCAAGATATTATGAAATTGTTTGTTAATTATCTCCAGACCTATATAAAATAAAATATATTACTCCAAAACCCTAACAAATCTTAAATAATTTCGATTCACAATTAACCTGCACACTGAATCCTAAATATTTATTCAAATATAAATTAAAAAAAAAAGACATTTAACACACAATTAAAATACCGGGTATTAAAAACTGATCCCCGAATAAATTATGATCACAGAATTTATACATCTACCGGTATCTTATTTTTGATAAAATAATATATTAATAACTGTTGGAATCAAGACTACAATAAGTTCCCATTCAGTTGTTACGACGGTGTGACGTCGCTTGCAGCTAATATACAGCAAATCATGGAAGGGAAACGGAATTTAGAATCGTCTTCTTATCCTAATTCTCATCTGGTAAGAAATTGTGAAATTTTTATATCCTTTTAATTTAGATTTTGAGGTGTATAATGCATTTTCTTAACGTTACCATTGAATGCGCTTTTTATAGTGTTGTCCCATGTGTTTCATTTCATGTGATGTGCAGTTTGAGACGCACATAACATAACTATGACTGGCGCTTGTTCAGAAACCTATCCAAAATTTGACCCGTAACTCCGGCGTGGAGATACCTTACTACTTGGTACTTGGTTGTTGTTCCTCCAAAAGATTCCTGGTGGAATTTAAACTGGAGGTCGTGGTGGCAGAGAGTGGACTTATTTCGGAAGGAGTGCTACTTTAAACTTTGCTGAGTCAGTCAGATCAGGGACAGGGATACTAAAATATACCCAAAATGAAGTAGACCTAGGCCTAAATATTCATTAAATGTCCAAATAGATTTCTAAAGATCATGAATTAAAAGTTGTTAGAGTAAAGGAGCCGGTAATTGGCCAGCTCCAGTTTTTGGCCGATAGGTTGGATGAAGGTAAAATCCCTCTAAAATACATCGCATAATAGCATAACACATATCCCACACATACCATACCATGCCAGTGTCACTGAAGAACCACATTTGCAATGAAAAATATATCCTAAAATATCACATTTTAGCGATGTAATCGGCGGTCCCGCTACCCGAATCAGAAAAATCGAGTATCTTTCGCATGTCTGTAAAAAATGTGGGTACCATAAAATGAGCTTTATTTCAAGTATTTTTCAGATTTAGAGCCCGATTTTGTGCTAGTCGCAAGCTCAAAAGTATCTCATCGCATGTATTAAATCAATGCAGCCGCACACCGCAACGCACACACGATATCTCTGTCTAATTCAGATTCCAATATCCGATCACCGCAGTACTAGTTTTCGGCCTGGCGAGCTCCGGGGAGCTCCGGTGTGGGATATCTGCTCCGCCCGCTAGTGCTATAGATCAGCGCGGAAACGCACGGCGCGTGCGCGCGCTTCCTATTGACTTTGTACATGCGGCCGAAAACTGGTACGCTATGCCGAAAACTGACTCCGAAACAGTGAAAATTGAAATGAATATTGTCATGGCAATTCGTGATTTTTTTCTGGGATTCTTGTTTTGTTTAAATAATAATAATATTTGCTTCATGATTTGAACAAAAAATGGTAATAAATAGGAAGTTAAGGGTCCAAAAAATAGGATTTTGTCGTAAGTGGCCGAAAACCGGCTCCTTTACTCTATGTTTATTACCTGTTTCGTGTCAATTTTCTTGTTATTCTTGGAGTATTTTTCGGGAAAACAATGATATTGGTACACTTTTTCACAGGTTTCACGGCAAACCGCTGCCCAATACAAGTGCTTACCGATGGTGGGTTGAGGGCGGGCGCACGCCTGTGTGAAGTTATCTACCGTAATGAGGATCCGAGACATTACGGTAGATAACTTCACACAGAGCCAATTGGTGCTAATGTACTTTCGTATCGATTTTTGACCCGTAACTTCGGCGGGGAGATACCCTATCAAAACATACCAAAATCTTTTGGAGTATTTTTCCTAAAAACAAAGACATTATAAATACACTTTCTCTCTGTATGCAAATGAGGCTGAGATCAGTTGAACGTGAAGCGCATGCGCGGGATGGGAGCTTAAATTCCAAGTGAACCGACTGTCTTTACAATCATATCTGAATGTTGATAAAGTTCATTGTTACGATTTCACAATACTTGTTAATTAATTTTTGTTTTCTTTTTCTTTTTCTTTTTCTCTACAGAAACGGAAGCATCATAGTGAGAAAGCTGACTCTGATGATGACAGCTATGTGCCATACGTGCCTCTGAAAGAGAGACGCAAACAGAAGGTAATTTGCACACTTACTCTGTGTATTATTCCATTCATGTAGATGGCTCAGACAAGTGAGACAATGGAAGAAGAAATCAGAATTCATACCTCTATATTTTTTACTCCTTTTGGGAACCCCCTGACCCCCTTAATGAATTAATGAATAAATAAATGAAGATATGAATGAAAATAAATGAAAAATGAAGAAATAAAAGTAACAGTCTTCAACACAAGTTTGATGCCATGTTACTAAAAAACATTCAATTAAAATGATCTATTTTCAAAGGGTATTTTGCTCATGCATTTTAAAGATAAAAATATTTATGGTATTATCTGATTTTGTGGGTTTTTTTTATTGTTTTTCAGCCCTATACGGATGTAATTGGTGTCACTTTCTGAACGGTATTTCATGCCATAGGATCATGCTGTATTTATCAAATTTAATATTAATGAAACAATTATTTTGTTATATTCAATGGTCCTCCTGTATTGAGATACACTTTATGGGATGATATTTGCAAAGCATGTGCCACCTAGTAGGAAATATGTCCCTGTCATCATGAAAAATTGATTATTTTTTTAATTTTTTAATTTTAATGTAGCAGGTGAAGACATAGTCTACAGGTGTATGTCTTAACCTGTTCATCACTATTTAGCAATTGGGGAATTTCACATATATGCGTAATGATCACAGCTTTAGATGACTACCGATAGTAACGTTCAATGTTTTTTCGTGATTGAATAGAAATCTTATGAATTTGTTTTTGTTTCCAATTTTCTACTTCTACTCAGCCAACTCTTTTAAAAATTCAAGGTTTGAGTTCCATTTAAGCTTAGTTCATAATTTCAGAAAGTTTTTGAATATATGGTTCTTTTATTTTGCTTGTGAAGGTTGACAGGATCCAGAAGATTGTGACTCGTAGGGTGGTAGAGCCAAATGAGGATGGAGAGAAACAATACTTAGAAGAGGAGGAGCTGGACACTGGACCCAGGGCCAATGTCAGCCTCCTAGATCAACATTCTGAACTCAAAAAGAAGGCAGAGAGTGAGTTACAACTATAAGTATTTACCTCACTAGAGAAGGTGGTTCTTAATGTTTTTTTTTTTTTTCTTTTGGGGGGGGGGGGGGGGGGGGGCTATGTCGCTATGTCCATCTGGCTTGATATATTTGTATGACAATATCTCAAGAACTACATGTATATGGGGTGAAAATTCAAACTTGATACATCAATTGACATTACCATAGGGAGATGAAGTTATGAGTTTGGGGGGGGGGGGGTGAGATGTCATTAGACTAACAACATGGCCATCGCATCATATACATGTGAAACCTACATTGGTTTCATACTTAATGAGATGCTCATGCTTTTAGTTAAATCATCAATCACCTTTTATTAGGTTCATAGTTGTGTGAAGAGACATGGAAAATAACTATCAATTAATCTGCAGATTTATTTCAATCCCTTTTGCCCTTTCTCCACTCTAATAGTACATACTACTAAATTTGAATGGGGGGGGGGGGGGGATTGGATTGAAAAGTTTAGGTCGGTGTTAAAGTAGACTTTATTGCATAAATTGTTTAACACAATGCTATAATCTGCCTCAAGGCACATAATGGGAGTAATAACTACTATTTTATTATTTTGTAGGTACTAAATCAACGGCACTGGACAAACAGCTGGAAGAAGAACAGAAGATTCTTAATAACATTCAGGAGCAAAGAGCTCTGAAGACTGCAGCAGAATTGGCAAAAGGCATCATATACTCTGAGTCACTTGTTACAGGGTAAGAATCGGCACTAGATGGGATTATTTGCTGCTTTAACAAATTACAAAGGTGTCTAAGAAATTGTCTAAGTTTGATTATTCCATATTGTGGATTTGTTCAAAATTTCAATTGCCGAATGACGCAATTATTTTCGGTTTAGTCCGGTTCAGGAGTGCTATTTTCAGCTTCAGTTCAGAGGCTTGGCTACTGCACTACCTAGCAAACATGTAATAATCTTTAAATGTTTTTGATCATTTGTGTGTGGTTAGATTGCAATTCAGAGTATCTTATCATCATTAGAAAGTGATTGTTAAAGAAAAGATAAATCAAGGTGTGAATTTTGTTGTTATCAGATGGAAACCGCCGAGATGCATAACCGAATTGGGTGAGGCTAGGCATGATAGGGTGCGCAAGAAGCTTCATATACTGGTAGAGGGGCATGACATACCCCCTCCCATCAAGCACTTTAAGGTAGGTGGATGCAGAATGTTTCTTTATGTAGCACCTAAAGAGCTGATATGAGTCCAAGGATGTACGACCATGCTCCTGCAAAAACTGATCCTTCATCAATTTCTTTCACTAACCAAATTCTGAAATCCAACCTATGACCAAAAGCTGTACCTAACTCTCACCCTAACTCAAAACCCTAACCTTCAAATATATCTTAAAAAGCAATCATTGCTGGAGCAAATCTTGGATCACATAGTCCAAAGGTTATATATAATTGTGTTCATGGAGTTCATACATATATTTTTAATTTTTCAAAAACTATTCTTGTAGCTAGAGCTCAATATCTTTCTTTGCAGTATTGATCTGACTCTTCAATAGACCAGTTCGTAGGTAGCACATGGTACAAATATTCACAGATCTTTTGCACATAGAGATGTCCCACCTTGTGCATTTTAGAATCACTGCCAAATTGATGAAGGTGTTTCATGAATAAGTTTTGTTTGCCCTCTTTAGAATAATTCTTCCACTTGTTTATAATAGAATGTACTGTCAGGGCATAAATGAACAGTAATTGCATTACTTTCATGGGCATGTATCCAGTGTTTGTCTTGATGGGTTTTACGATTTTTGTAGAAATTACCTGTATTTGTTCTTGTGCAGATTGTATCTACGAACTGTGGCCTTCCAGTTTTAGTTCTGCAACTTCTGCTTTATCACTCTGTCAGGACAGTAGCAAATGAGGGAACTGTAGTTTATTTTTTGTTCTCTCTGGGGACATGTAAATCCAAGGGATTCTATAATTCAGCTTATTGTTCATTTAATTTCATAAACACTTTATTTATCTATTATTAACTTTTAACTTTTAACTTTGTAATTAAAATTGAAATTAAGTATGAATTAAGCATGAATGAATGAGCATGTCATTAAAGTATCACAGCAATTGGAATAATTGCAAGACAATCAGTGATAAAATGGTCAAATACGATTTCAAGGTGCTTAGTGTGTTGCCATATTTGTTAGATGTTTTGAAAAATAGCTTTTAGTGTTTAGTAAGCCTAGTATCACAAAAATGACATCTGACGGCTAAATCTCATTAAATAATCAATTAAATTTATGTCATTTCACATTTATTATTAGGAGATGAAGTTTCCAAAGAGCATCATTTATGGGCTGAAGAAGAAAGGTATTACTAAGCCCACACCAATCCAGATACAGGGTCTACCTGTGATGTAAGCATACTTTATTCTTTTACAGAAACACAAAGTTTGTTTCACAGTTATGTTTTTGTTATGTTAAAGGTAATCTCAGTCAAAATATGTAGTTCAACATTTATGATTGATATTTTGATGTAATATTAAACCATCAAATTAGATAGTCATTACTTTCAAGTCCTTGCAGTTGATTCAAACAAACAAGATTATCTCATGGGGACGAATTACTTTTGGAACATTTCCTTGCTGTATTATTTTCAGGTATTGTCTAAACAGATTAGCAAAGAGTTTACCTCCTTTCTTATATCCATTTTTTACCAGCAGTCACCTCACACATTCTTGCAGTTGGCATTTATTTTCAGATTAAACTCTCACAGATGATGAATATTAAAGTTCTTCATTCTCTGACTAGTCTACTATATTGTAGTGCTTATGATGCCTCAGTCACTCTAACCTAAACGAGACCGACAACAGACCAAACAAAACATTCCCTGACTATGTACATTGATTGGCCGAGAGTCTGTCAGTTTGGAGTCGGGATGGAGTCAAGTAAGCAGTGTGACTGAGGTGTAAATCTGGTATGGGATGGTATTGGAGGCCTTTTTATGCAACGAAGTAGCCAGAGGCAGTCCGTCCGTACGTCCCGTTCTCATGATCCTGTTATCTCAAGAACCAATTGGTGGATTCCCACCAAACTTGGGTCATGTCTCTATCTTGATGAGCCAATGAACTTATTATATTTTGGGGTCATGAGGTCAAAGATCAAAGGGTCATACATGTATATGAAAAATAGCTTGTAATTACCATATTCTGAGAACCTGTTAATGGATTATAATTAAACTTGAATTTTAAAAATTGCTTCTGTTAAAGATCCATCTAGTTTAGTTCTAATTCAGGTAAAACAACCTTAGACATGTCAGTCTTGAACTAAACCATGTCATTGTTTTGAATTCATGGATGTTATATCTTTTTATTTGACAGACTTGAAGGGCGTGACATGATCGGTATTGCTTTCACTGGTTCTGGGAAGACACTCGTTTTCTCCCTGCCTATCGTCATGTTTGCTCTCGAGCAAGAGAAGAGGATGCCGTTCATCAAAAATGAAGGCCCCTATGGTCTCATCATCTGCCCATCGGTAAGCAGTCAAAAGATTCACCATCTTTTCAATCTATGGCTCAGCATCGGAACTGTTCCAATGCAGAAACCTGTACTAAAGGATCCTATACATAAAGGCACCTGCCTTTAAAGACCACTTTTCTTGTTTCCCTTTAATGGTCTTTATATACAGATTCCACTGTAGTTAATTTGATATGAACACTCACTCAACTCATCACGCCTGCACTAGGAACATTATACTTCCAATACAAGTTACCCCCATTATTCTGTTATCAAATCTACTTGGCAATTGATGAGACACAAAATGACAAAATACTGTGGACTTGCCCACCAGTTGTACATCCATTAATGTCTAGTTCTGCTTGTTCTTTTGATTGTGTACACAGCGTGAGTTAGCTCGTCAGACCCATGATGGTATTATGCACTTTATCAAGTGTTTGGAAGCAGATAACCAACCAACTCTGAGGAGCATGCTGTGCATTGGAGGTGTGTCTGTTAAAGAACAGATGGATGCAGTTAGATCGTAAGTCAATCATCTTTAATCTCAATCGGGGGAGGGGGGGGGGGGGGCGGGGGGCACTATGATGGCTATTTTGTCTGTAAGGTGTGTGGTAAATTATAGCATGGGAAATCTTACTGTACGGTTTCATGAATTTCTTAAATTACTTTTGAAATATTACATTACTCTCAAAATGATTAGCATATATTTAAGATGTATTATTCATGTAAATTATCAATTTTCAGAGTTAAAACAACCTGTTAACCCATTGCGTTGTGGCTTCCTGGGGGGGGGGGGGGGGTTGGGGTTCTTGCAGATGGTATTAAAGCACAGTTTATAGTTAATGTTCAAAGTTATTCTTTTCAAAGTGAACAAAATTTGGAGGAAACTAAATTGTTTATTTTTATGCCTCCGTTACGAAGTAGCCGGAGGCATTATGTTTTCGGGTTGTCCGTCCGTCCGTACGTCCCGTTCTCGTGATCGCGTTATCTGAAGAACCGATTGATGGATTCCTGCCAAACTTTAATCATGTATGTATCTTGCAGAGCCGATGAACTGATTAGATTTTGGGGTCACGAGGTTAAAGGTCAAAGGTCACAGGGCTCATTATGTATGCAAAAACAGCTCGTGATCGCGTTATCTGAAGAACCGATTGATGGATTCCTGCCAAACTTAGGTCATGTATGTATCTTGCAGAGACGATGAACTGATTAGATTTTGGGGTCACGAGGTCAAAGGTCAAAGGTCACAGGGCTCATTATGTATGCTGAAACAGCTTGTGATCGCGTTATCTCAAGAACCGATTGATGGATTCCTGCCAAACTTAGGTCATGTATGTTATTTGCAGAGCCGATGAACTGATTAAATTTTGGGGTCATGAGGTCTAGGTCAAAGGTCATGCGGCTCATTATGCATGCAAAAATAGCTTGTGATCGCATTATCATTAGAACAGATTGTTGGATTCCTCCCAAACTTAGATCATGTATGTATCTTGCAGAGCCAATGAACTGAGTAGATTCTTGGGTCATGAGGTCAAAGGTCAAAGGTCATGGGCTCATTATGTATGCAAAAATAGCTTGTGAACGCATTCTCATTAGAACTGACAGATGGATTACTATTTAACTCGGAACATCTTGCAGAGCCAATGAACTGAGTAGATGTTAGGGTCATGTGGTCAAAGATCAAAGGGTCATATATGTATATGAGAAATTGCTTGTAATCACGATATTCTGAGAACCTGCTAATGGATTACAATTGAACTTGAATTTGAACAATTTCTTCTGTTTTGGTTTGTAAAATTGCTCTATGACGGAGGCATCATTTCGACTGCGCGCAGTCGAAGTTCCATCTAGTTTCAAATATTTCAAATGTCTACTCCTGTGCCTGTTCAAGCTTGCATAGAAAATGTTAGATAGACAAATTCAAACCCAAGTCTGACTTGAATTTCGTGCATGGGATTATATGTCTTTTTATATTTTCTTCATGTTCCATTATGGTGAACCTATCGAATGTCAGGTAAAGTTTTGTATACATTCTACTTGTACCCATAGGTATTTTTAGGTAGTTGGTTCACTTTAAGGTATGTGTGGAAGATCAGGTTGATACTCTTAACTTAAAGCTAATCTTGAGCTCTGGTACATGTATGGGCATCGTATGTCAAGAGAACATGGCTATAATTCATTCTGGATTGTTTCTCCTGCAGTAGATTGATTTTTTAAACTAGTAAAATAAAAACAAAAGCACAAAAGCTTGCTGGAAATCATCTTCAATGAAAACCACCGCTCTCATTTGCACATAGTGATCTGTGTTAAGCACATGGTGTCGGGCCTACTTACCTTGATTTCCTTATTTTCTACCAAAATCGTTTTGCACATGTCGTTTATTTGTACTTTTGAAAATTCAGTGTAAGTTTTGTTGGATTCTGTCAGAATTATTATTTATCATTACCAGAATTCAAGCTTATCTTCAATGTAAAAAAAAAAAGAATAATACAAAAAAAGAGCTGGACGTTTATATGAAACAGTCCAGCCATTGAGACTCATTATGTTGCTTATTTGATCCAGTGAATGAATGAAATGCTTGTTTGATCATATCTACAGAGGTGTTCATATAGTGGTGGCTACCCCAGGACGGCTGATAGACATGCTCAACAAGAAATGCTTCACGTTATCCGTCTGCCGATATCTCTGTCTGGATGAGGCTGACCGCATGATTGACCTGGGATTTGAAGAAGATATTAGGACGATCCTAACGTATTTCAAGGTATGTTGGAATGAGTTTTACTTGATGAAGGAAAAATAGTCATCATTTAAAAAAATGTGTGTCTTGACATGTGATAACAGAATTAATGAGAATGTGATGAGTGCCTACTGCACTATTAATAGTAAGGCATCTGCACTCATTCACAGTTCATTAGGGAAGAGAGATGAAATGTTGAATTTGATGAGATTCATTATAGAAACTACAAACTGTACTGTATTTTTTAAACACCGAATATAAATAGTGATTCTACTTTTTTCTTACACAAGAAGATGACAGACCACCTAACTTGCAGTTTAATACTAGGGACTGTAGGCATTAAAGATATAAAATAAGTGGATATTAGACAAATGCTAGTATCGAGCCCTGCATATTAAATCATTTATATATATATATATATATATATGATTGATCTAATAGTACTTCAGTTATCATTTCGTCTTTAATTTGTCCATCATATTCTTGTATTTTATTTCTTATCGATACAATTATATTATATTTGTATTCTGAATTGCCCCCATTCCCTGACTGTAGAGCCAGAGACAGACACTCCTCTTCAGTGCTACTATGCCCAAGAAGATCCAGAACTTTGCTAAAAGTGCCCTCGTTCGGCCCGTGACTGTCAATGTAGGACGAGCTGGAGCAGCTAGTCTTGATGTGATCCAGGAGGTGGAGTATGTCAAACAAGAAGCTAAGATGGTCTATCTCTTAGAGTGTCTCCAGAAAGCACCACCTCCGGTATGTTGTCCATACAACTTAGGTCTAAAAAAAAAGATAATAGGAACTTTTAGATTTGCATGGACTGATATGTGTCAAGTCCATTCAAGGCAGTGCATTGAAAGGACGTTGATCGTAGCAATCCAGCTTGTCGTTCGGCAAATCTAAAAGTCCCTGTTATATTGCCCTTTGCGACCAACCCAAAAATTTACGGTCGGCTTTAAAAAAAAGTTTTTCTTTTAAACCGTTTTTTTTAGAAAAATGTATAAATGCATTCAAAACTGAGAAATATCAGCCCAAAGAGGGAGTTAAAAAAAAGAAAAGAAAAGAATTCTGACTGACCGACCTATGTTTGGCACCTAAAGGGCAATACAACATCTTTTTTTTTTAGGCCTTATGATCAGTCAAATCTGCTCACATTTTATGCATACAAAAGTGCTTTTTTATGACCTTTAAGTCTTTCTCAGATTGCCCAGCAAAGCAGCAAATGGTAAATGCAAGGTTGATCCAAAGCACATAGTTATTTTCACATCTAACATTGGACTTCAATTATTTGTTACTAGAGGCTATGTAAGGAAGCATCCATTACCATGAGAATGTACAGGTGTGTTACTAGAGGCTATGTAAGGAAGCATCCATTACCATGAGAATGTACAGGTGTGTTACTAGAGGCTATGTAAGGAAGCATCCATTACCATGAGAATGTACAGGTGTGTTACTAGAGGCTATGTAAGGAAGCATCCATTACCATGAGAATGTACAGGTGTGTACATATGAATCAGATGGCATTCGTAGTGATCTTAAAATTGACCTACATAGTGTATTTCACCACATGTGATGTAGTTTGTAGTTGTGCCTGCCGTTGTGACAGGACCTTATACCTTTTTTTTAAAAACAAAAACTTATCAAAATAAATTGATATGTTGTGTCTTTTTTTTGTAGGTGCTGATCTTTGCTGAGAAGAAAGCTGATGTAGATGATATTCATGAATATCTCCTTCTCAAAGGAGTTGAAGCCGTTGCTATACATGGAGGAAAAGGTACATTCTAAATCCCTTGCTGCCAACCATTCCTAGTATTCTTTTTTATAGGTTCTTACTTGGCCTTTAAACTGATGTAATATAGCCTAGTACATACCTGCGAACCCTTCCGAATAATCTGCAATATTCAGATTTTTAGGACCTGAAAATATTGAGATTTTTCAAAATTTGTTTTATCATGTGCCGCAATTTGAGAGTATTGCGTGTGTTGAATGGCTGCACGATCAAGCAGCGAATTTGTATTCGCTTTTTGGTACAGATTTACCACGTATTGCCAGTTACACTGCCGCTGCAAGTGCGATTTCTTATTTTTGAAGGCATACCGTGCTAAAAATTCCTAATTCTTATTTTCAAATGTTAGCGGTATGTTAGTAGGTTCCTCTAGGTTTCACTGTATTTTTTACTTTGCCATGAGAGATTCCTGAAAGATGATCATGGTTGCTTACTAACAAGCAAATGCTTTCTTAGCAGTCAAAGAAAACAAACAAACTAACCAACTAACCAACCAATAATGGCTACTTCAGTGCCCCTGAAAGAACGAGAGCTAGAACAGTATGTATGGAACAGGTGTCTTTGACAAGATCAATGGATCACATTTCACAAGCTTGAGGACTTGTATGTACATGTCATAGCAAATAATAGTCAATAAGAAAATATACATTTCCTTCTTAGTCATGTCTAAAATGTCAGTAGTGCATAAAAAGCAATTTATTTTCCTATCAAAATATCTTCCTGTTTAATAGAATTTTCATTATCACTTTGTATTTACTAACTGTGTATATTCTATTTAATACCTATTTTCTTGTAGACCAAGAGGAGAGAACCAAATCAATAGAGCAGTTCAGAGCAAGAGAGAAGGATGTGTTGGTTGCTACAGACGTTGCCTCCAAGGGTTTAGACTTTCCTGACATTCAGCATGTCATCAACTATGACATGCCAGAAGACATTGAAAACTATGGTAAGTTGAGTCATTTATCCACTCTTCTGTAAAGCGAGACTGCACTACTTGTAGCTGCTTGCGCCCTCTATACAGCAAAGAATTCCAAAGCGGTACTCGTTGTTCCCCCATGATCTCCCTTTTCTTATGTTCATTGAGAGCTGTTTGGATGAGATAACCACCTGTCAGTGACCATGCAGGTCAATCGAATCCCTTCTGGCCGAACTAGCGCAGAGGGGCTTTAAAGGTATAGCTATTCTGATGGTCTCTTGGCCTTGGAGGACAAAGCCATTAGGGTTGAAAAAGACATGGCTTTACCTTCAGTTATCTTTGTCACATCATCTAAGGGGCCTTAACTTAACAAGCTGTGCTTCAACCAAGGTCTCCTCGCCTTCTTTATTCTACATTGTACTGTTATGATTAAACTCTATTGTATTTTGTTACATGTGATTTCTGGAGGACAAACAAACTTGATACTTGATACTTGATCATGGCCAGCTTTCCAACAGAGCCCCGTATCATGGATGATTGTCAAACGATAACATGACATTTGTTCTTCAACCTACAGAAAGGGAACAACAATCTAGATTTAGATAAGCCCCCTAAATAGCAATAACTTGAGAAGAAATTAGTGCAGCAATAATATTGCTTTTGATAAATGGGTGACTCCACTCTGATTTAATCTGTATGAATCATGTTTTGTGCAGCCAAAGTTTTCACGACAAAGGGCAAAACCCAATCTTTTTTGGCTGAAGTTAAAAAAGTAATGTATGTCCATAGTCTGTTAGTTATTGTGTTCCTGACCTGCTCTTTAATATTAGAGCCTTCTATGTGTGAGAGAAGAACTTTGTTTTCATTTTGTTATACATAGTAAATATAAAACTGCTCCTAAGTTGGCCATTGTTGCTGGCACTGATGATGAATGATTGTCTAAATATCAAATATATATCCTTTGATATACAACAAATAACAATTTAAAATAAAATTATTCATGAACTAGACAAAGATGACAATAACGCTTGTTCAGCACAAGCAGATTCAACTAAAGATGCTTTGTTTATGCCATGTTCCTCTCCTCATTCAGCCAGTAGATAAGAAACTTGTTTACTGGCTGCAACACATTGGTTGCATTGTGACATCCAGATGAGGTGGCCGTGGGAGAGTTTAGTTGAAATATAAAAAAAACTGCGAAGACCATCAAACAAGTTCACTTGTATATATCATAACAACCTGTCATTGATCCATTCTTGGAATTGAGAATCTCTAGAAATACAATCCTGCTTTGATTTATCTTTCATTTCCTGTATTTACAGTATGTAGAAAATTAATAAAATAAAGAGTGGATATTGGCCCGATTAAATTTTAAATCTTCCCACTCAATCCTAAATGAGAATCGTCTTCAGGAACTATTTTTTATATCAATGTTAAGTTGTGTGATGAATTCAGCCCACTCATATGATACACTCCTGTGATACACTTTGTCATTCAAGGTGTTGTTTGACCTTTAGTTTGAGATCAGACATCAATATCAATTTATGAAGCAGTAAACTTTCCCTAAGGCAGCACAAGATTTGATTGATTGTACATGGCTTCTTTAAATCCCATCACTACTGTATTAAGCTGCCCACATATTGATGGTATATTTTATAATTTTTTAGACAAGGACAGATCTGTATTTCTTATGACATTCAATGTTTGTGAATTGTTAAATTGGATATTGTGGAACCGTGTTTTCTAGTCAGATGAATAGTAATAGATTAATTTAATGAACTATGAGTCATGAAAAGCAGTTGAAAATCAGTAATTCTTCCATCTTTTGTGCCCAAGATTGTTGAAATCGGAGCCATCTATATGCAGAGTTTGGCCAACATGGCATACATTCTCTTTGTTTTTGTGCTTTCCCAAGATAGCAGTAGTTGCAATCCTGTGCCCAACATGAACCGAGTTGGCCAAACTCTCTTAAAGTAGATATTCATTGATTTTAAAAACTAACTTTATTTTCATTATTGCAAAGTTGAAACTTTGATTCGACAAGGTTATCAAAATTCAATGTTAGGAAACATTCGAAGTAATGATTATTATAAATTACAAAACGCTTAAATACAGCCCCGGCATAGCACCTGAAGAGATCTCCGAACGCTGCTGAGATGTGTGAGATCACAGTATGGACATGACTTGCACAAGCAGACGATGTCCCATGACATCTCACACATTTTCAGTGCCTGTGTTTTCATCTTCTCTCGAGTTCTTTCTCTTACTTCACTACCGTCAGGCTGAATGTATAATCTATTGCCTCACTCTAAACCCAGCGCATGGTTTTATTTTGATGACAAATGCAGCGATACAAAAATAAAGGAATCTGTTGCTCGGAAACAAAATAAGACGCCATTGTATATTCAGCTGCACACACCGGGGTATGTTCGGCGTTTCAAGAGGGAACAAATGCCGTCCTTAATATCATTCCGGGGGGTTTTCAATCTGAAAGTCTGGTTTCTTTGATTGTTAATTAACCCCTATCCTGTGTATTTACAAGCAAAAGATTTTAGTTATCAGAATCAGGTCATGTCTCCTTTTGAATGGTATGACATGCCATTACATTTACATACACTAAACTCATTATAATTTAAGAAATAATAGCTTTGCACTTATGTTCATTCTCTATGGGATATCGTCTGCTTGGGCAGTGTTGGTCCATATAGTGACGTCATTAAAACATCGTTATTTTTCCGGCGAATCTCTCGTAGATCCAAGCTGCTATGGAGGTGGTTGTATTTGTATTTTTATAAATCACCCGATATGTAGTTGTCCTAAAACTTGTACGATGGCCATCTGTTAGCTTACCAGTTTCTAGTGATACATTAGTTGAAATATTTGTGATCTTCTTTGAATTTCACCTTTAATGGTATTGCTCAACCACTGGCAAGACTGTCCTCTCTTGATTGCCCAGTTGTAGTGCTTGAACTTCAAAAGAAAAAGTGAACTTTCACCAAATCGTCTACTTGATGACCTATTTAATGTCTGTTGGTAATGCACAAAAGGGGTAGTCCACTGTTACATTATCAAGTTGATTTTAATGAACTTGAAGAAAAAGAAGATAAAAAATCAGAGGAGTAGTTAAATACAAAAAAAAAGCTTGTAATAAAAATAAACCCATTCAGTTGTATATATCACTACACAAGTTTGGCAAATATGATTTCCAATTTAAGCTGTTTACCATCTTTAGGAAACAAAAATTAAATAAATGCCCCTTAACACTTCCCATTGCGCTTTGCCTTTTAATAAAAGAAATGGAGACCATCTTGATTTAGTTGCAGACAGTTATTTATGATCATTGATAAGGTATGTTACATGTGATGAAATATGTTATTTTGATATCATCTGAATCACAAACATTTTAAAACATATATGGAATGCTACATGTAGTTAGGCCAGTTAATATTTAGTCATTGAAGTAATTTCATAAACTTTGAATTATTTCAGTGGTAAAATAAATATAATTCAAACAAATTTGCTCTGAGAAAATTTACATAGCTCCTTTTATTCATGGTTAGGAACTGTTGCCATTTCCAAAATTATTACATATATATATAGGTACATGTAACTTAGTTTTATCACCAGTACTGTTGGTTTTAACATAATATTCTTCATATTGTAATACACACTAAAGACTTGCTCAAATATGAAGTGTTTAATAAACCACAGTGCTTTTTTACAACATGTCAATGAATCATGTCACTTGTGCACTACAAAGGTCTTACGCATATTCATCAAGCTTTGTGTTATAAGATACAGACCTGTGAATCGTATTACACGTACATCATCATAAACATTAAAAAACTACTGTGGTTTACTGCATTATACATTGCCTCAAAGATACTATGTCCCTTCTGCAGCCAACATCAAATTCTGTAGAACTTTGCAGGAGTTATGAATATCTCATATACATGTATGTCCTATCTGTAAAATTTAAACGTTAGCAGTGTCCTAATATTCAAATTATGCAAGGAAACCCGTTTACTTGCTAGACTTCACTGTCAGACACTATTGAGTGACTGACTGGCTTTTTTTCTTCTTTGGTAATAACATAAATAAAATGAGCGGTAAAGGGTACATGAGAATTTATATCCCACTTCTTGTAATGGCCAAAATTAAACTGATTGAATCTTTGCGCAGCATAAAACGTATGACCATTCGGAACAATGGTTTGAAAATCAGACTATAACTTACTGGCTCTATAGATTAAGTTTTTTTTGACAACTAATAGTCGTTATTTTCCCACTTTAAGACATTTTCAAGCCCCCCATTTGTTAGGGAAGTTCTAAATTAGTTTTATCTTTCAAATGTCGTTGGAATTTAACCTTTTCATTTTTTGGCCTGCAAATGGGACACAGTACCTTTAAAGGGAAAGTTGAGTTTTGGTGCAAAGGGTGTTGCACAAAATAATTTTTTGTGAGATAACAAAAAACTGAGTTTCGGATTTGAAAGAAAGTACAATTTAAATGACAAAATCATCTTTGTTTAATCAAAATCGGTTCAGAGATGGCTGAAATATCCATAAATATAAAGATTTCTAATATTTGTGGTGCCCCACAAATATTCAATAATTTGGTCCATCCGTTGAAAAATCTAGATAGCGCCTTATACGTTTTATTCCAGCCAATGCTGATGTTGGCATTTGTGTTGGTTATGTATACACACAACCAGCTGGCCCATGTATTGTTATTATTACTGAATTAATTTACTTAATGGTCAACATATTTTTTTGAAATTGATATGATCGTATTGGCTTAATTTCACACATTTTGCGGTCTAAAATTACCTTCAAAGCAATTTTGGGTCCTTAAAGAGCACTATAAATGTCATGAATAAGAATAAGAGCAATAACCAAGCACTTTGAAGGCATTTGCGGTCTGAAACAAGAACTCAACTATTTCTTTAACGAGGCTTAATGGTGCATTTATAGATGTGAGTGTTGCCATGTGTATGTCATAAAGAAAATTGAAAATTCCCTGCATGGTTTTGTAGCTGTTAATATGGATTTGATGTACTCACTCAGGATCATGAACCCTTTACATGTACATGTGTATGTCAAATGTGATACCCTTGACAACAAGGCCTCGTCAGGTATATGAATGTTAGCCAAGAGATGTAAGGAACATCAATGGATTATGTTGTTTGGTAGGCCACCATGCCTATTAATCTCTTGTTTGTTGCCCTAAAGAGAAATCTAATCTTGGTAGCAAACTACTCTAGAGGAAAGCAGAATAATGAGAGACATAGACTGGCGAGAATGAACCCAAAATGTGAAAGTAATTAATTTTTGAAAGTTTAAATCACTATAGGTATGGGCTCATCTAATTGGCTGAATCCGTAATGTCTCTGTGATATAATGGCGGCCAACTTTTCCATTTGTTCCAACATAGAAAAAATGACTAAAATTTGAATTTGTCAAAAGTGTATGACTCAGGAAGGTCTTTTCTCTTTAGAGAACCTATAATATTTATGCTATCCATACTATATTGTGAGTAGTGCCTAAAGGGAGAAGGCACATTATAGGAGAAAAACAGAATTTAATGATATTTTTGTAAACGACTAACAGAAGATTTGAGATTTGCATAGACTTTGGTGATCTTATATTTCAAGCATTCATAACTTACATATTATTGGTCCAATTTGTTTCAAATTTTTGTCTTTTTGTTTATTTTGTTTTTTTGCTTTGATACAAATAAACTTATTGTAAGGGGGCTATTAACTTTCACTATTGTCACAGAAGTCAAATTTCACTGTGGAGAGAGTTGTAAGTTTATATTAGCAAATGATGACTTCTGTTATTGTTCTCATGGTGGCTCTCAAATTATTGAGCTTTGGGCATTGCAAGCAAACAACAATATAAGGCTCCTGAATCTACAAAAATATAGAATATAACAAATATTTAAAAAAAGGGTTGTTAATACATATATACATTCACATGGAATAAGTTTTTAGCAATTATGGAATTTTATATCTATTCTTGGCTTAAATCATGCATATATTCAGGGGGGTGTTTCATAAAGCTGTTCGTAAAGTTACGCATGACTTTATGAATGACTTAAATATGAAAAGCCAAATGGGATGCTCAATTATTATCAACTGCATCAACTAAAGTTGAACTGTGCAGATGTAGATTAACATTCTTACAATAAAGAACATTTTTAATGCAAAGTATATTTGTTTGCCATAATTTAATTGAGGTTATTGGAAATATAGTCACACTTTGTTAAAACATCAGGAAAAACTTTGGGCATCCTATCTGGCACTTCATATACAAGTCGTTCGTAAAGTCATGTGTAACTTTACAACAGCTTTATGAAACACCCCCAATGTGACCTTTTTTCCTCAGACAAATTACTTTCATGATTACATTTCAAGTCTGATACTACTAAAAGGCAACAGTTTCTGGCTTCCTTACCACAAATACATGTATTACAACAAGAGAGGGCACTGTAACAAATTACAGAATAAAAGTAAGTTTTCATTGAAAACTGCTTTGTTGGGCAATGTTGATATTTCATTGGTAAGGAGAGGACATCAGAGTCACTATGCCTTTATATTTTGGATAAAGGCAGCAACCAAAAATATTTCACTTTCTTTTTCCACAGCAAAACATGAAAAGGGAATATATTTGCTGTTTGGAGCCAGAAGGGTGCTGCTAACTCGTACTTTTACACAGAGTTAACACCCTTTTGGCTACAAACAGCTGATGCAAGAACAGAGAAGAGAGAAAAACTATTCAGATCCTCATCATACATGTAGATCTAAACTACCGGTATTGATCACAGCACAGATTGTATAAGTCGGTAGGGAAAATAAACATTTGCTGTAAATGTATACCGGGTAGCCAGGCACCAACTAAAAATCAAAGAAATTCTGACAAGTTGCTTCTTTTTATGGGTCTACCAAAGTAGGTGCACGTGTGATTGAGCTTTTCATTGCCTGGTTGCCGCCTCAAGGGCTTAGTACCCAAATAGGCAACCCCACGTTGACTCCTATTCATGCTTCAAATTTAGTTATCTACATTTAGACCCCCTGGAGAGTTAACAATATCCAGATTTTTAAAAGCAAACTGTATGATATGGTTATGCTCTAGCTAGCACATTTCCCACTCTAATGATATCATGAATAAACTTATAACCACACCTGTAGAAGTGAATGTAAATGCTTGTAGTTGTTACAGTATATATTTATGTTCATCTTTGTTTAATTGTGTTTGGTTGATAGAATCATATGATTGAGTTGTTTCAAATGGGTAATTTACCTCCTGTATAGGGCCTACGATGTATCTTGTGTTAGAGCATTTTGAAAAACAAACAAATTTGACCTACATCCAAACTGGGGTAGGTTTGATAACTCATATTGAATGTAGGTTGATGAAAATGGGGCAAACGACATGCTGAAAAAGGTTTCAAATTAACCAAATCTAGATGGGGTGTAATTTGAGTGTGCAATTTCAATTTGTGAGGTAATATCTTGTTCTACCTTATGCTAAGATATATTTTTACGGCTGGTTACCCATAATTAAGAATGAGAGTCTTAATCCAAGGCGTTGGCTTGCTCTAATCATTGTAGTCCAAGTATCCCAAAATAATGTTCAAGCAGTGATTACAAATGGCTCAAACCCAAAGAATAATAGTAATGGTATGCAGAAAGAAATTGTCCATTTCATTTTTTTTTCATGTGAAGTTACATGAGTGTACTTGTAAACTGTACCCCTGTAGTAAAAGCAATTCATGGGTTGAACATTTAATTTTTGAAATATACACTGTGATTCTGATATTAAGCCAATATAATGAGTTTATCTCATGAAATCTTATTTGCAATACATTTAAGTGGCACAATAAGGATAAATTTCTTTTTTCCTTCATTATTTATAGTTCACAGGATAGGACGTACTGGTCGGTGTGGAAAGACTGGTATAGCTACAACATTCATCAACAAAGCTTGTGGTAAGTCACCTCATTCAGGATTTCATTTCAATATCTTGATCAATACATGCAAAAGTGATAGACAATATGCATCAGAAGAATTCCTACCATGTGGTCACCGTGAGGGCATATAGCAATCACTACCACAAAGGCTTTTGTCATTCTACCAAGTCCCCATTTCTCTCCTGAGTATGGAGTGGCAAATGTAGATTGATGCCTTGCCAAAGGACATAAGTGACGTGTCTGGATTGAACCCTCAACCTTTGCACTTCAAGTCAAGTGCTTAAACCACTCGACTACTACACCTCTATTCAGTCTTGGAGGCATTAATCTATTAAATACTGGATACCGGTATCTGAAACCTGACCAATGATGTTGTCAGCTTTACAACTCGTTGTCAGAATGTCCAAGAAAATGAAACCTTCAGTCTCACAAACTCTGAAGATCTTGTGAACCTGTTGTGGAATGGGAAGTCCCTGTGGTATCTCTCCATGTAGACATGATGATCTTGATCATTACATATACATGTATCAAGCATGTGTGTAGTCTCAGGAGGAAGAAAGAAAACTAGTAATCAGAAACGTAGAAAAAGATAATTATTCCTACAGACAAAATACCAGTAAAGTTAAGGTTACAAAAAGTATGAAACATGACATAAAAAGTTCAAAATGTACCTTCTCTGTAGTTGGAGCAAGAGGAGATATAAAACACATATGTACATGTAATGAGAGTACTTGCTATTCTATGTACACTTATTGCAAGAGATTGCAAGAGAGTTTTTACATCACTTGTCCTTCAAACATATAAATATGCAAGTAGTAATCAAGTGAATGAATGTTATATATTGTGACCAATTGTATATGTGCAATGTAGCTATACTTTTCCATATCTTGTGTATTTACTGGCTTTTTAAATTTAGGATCTTTGTATGATAAGTAGGTTATTATTTGAATTGTTGGGTTGCCCTTGAATTCAAAAGTGATTATTTTCCTTAAGACCAGTGTTAGTGTGGAGCATAAGGGATTATGCATGGAGTTTGCAAACACTTTATAGTTACCAGGAAACTTGGAGTAAATTTCAAAATTTACAGATTGGATATCAATATAAATAAATTAATTGAAACATGTGCATCTGAATGCATTTTGAAAGTATGGGAATTTAATTGCATAAAACACCTACAATATTTCTTAATGTTTGCACCTGTATTCAAGGCTGCCTTTAAAAATAGATTTTAAATGCAATATTGTCTGCTGAAAGTGAAGTGTAGGTTTTTATAAGAAGACCTCCAAAGGAGAAATGACTGTCCTTCAACTAGATAAAGAAGATCATCATTTTCTTTCTCACTGTTTGATTTCCCCTCTCAATGCAGTGCACTGCGTAGTGTTAATGAACTCTTTCTCTCTCCGCGGAGAGTTCGATGAACATGTGAAAGTGTGACGTCCATTGCTGATTGGTTGGTTGATGTGATACCCCCTAAGGGTGTCATCTGTGCGCCTTGCCACCACCTCTATGGGACACTGTGGGAGGGAGACGTTTATAGTGACAAAAATGTGTCCCACTCAATGAAATTATTGAACAGGTGTAATGGATAGGGGACCGAAGTTGTCATGGGAGAATATGTCCCTTACTTGAAGAAAGTGTCCTGCTTATGTATCATATTCACATTTCATATGATACCTATCCAACCTTGAAATTATTTATTATATACTTTTTTGTGTGTGTATGCTAACTAGCATTGAAGATTGTCTGAAAAGTTGATGTAAAATGTACTCCACAAATTAAGTTACTTAATGTTATTGCCAAGAAAGATCACATTTTTATTGATTAAAGGGATAGTAGAGATTTGTTGCAGAGGGCACAATTTTTTGTGAGAAAATGAAAAACTGAGTGTCAAATTTGAAAGAACATACAATTTAAATGACAAAATCATTTTTGTTTGATCTAAATCAGTTCAGAGACAGCTGAAATATACATAAATTTAACCATTTCTAATATTTGTGTACCACCACAAATATTTGATAATTTAGAACCAGACGTTTTATTCTAGCCAATGCCAATGTTGGCTTTTTGTTGTTGGTTATAATGCACAACCAGCCGGCCTGTGTATTGTTATTATTGATTAATTAATTTATTAAGGGTCACCATATTTTATTGAAAGTTGGAGCTGACTTGGTATGATCATATCTTATCTAAATTTCACACATTTTGGGGTCTAAAATTACTTTCATAGCAACGTTAGGTCCTAAAAGGACACTAAAAAATGTCATAAATAAGAATAGGAGCAATAACTGTGTACTTTGTAGGCATTTGTGGTCTCAAACAAGAACTCAACTATCCCTTTAAAAGTTTAAAATCAAATCAAACAGATTATATTAAAGTCTTTTGTTAATTATTTTACAGGGACAAAAAAAAATATTATTGAAATCAGTGATCAAAATCAACCTTAATATTTTGGCCAACCCTGGTTGTTTTAGGTCCCTACATCTCTTGTTTGAATATACATGTATGTAACATTATTGACCTTGGTACTCCTTTGCAAATTTGCAACCAACTGTGTCGGTTTGGTATCAGATGACTGTGTCAGTGAGTCTCACATCAATTAAATAGTTTGTGATGTACATATTGATGTGAGCTTAGCTCATGGGAATGAGATATGATCTGTAAGTACATGAAAGTTCATGCTTCATGCCTGAGGGGAGTTGTAATAGGCATTTCTCCACTAACCACTGCATGGTCGGGAGGTGGTTGCTTAATATTGCCTAGTCAAGAGATATCAATTTTTCAGTAATGGAAGCATGTTAGATAAATTGTGACTTGTGGGAATACACTTTTGCAATCATAGTGCTGATATAGGATTTGCAGAGATACATGTAAGAAATAGATTTGATTTATTTAAAGCATATACATGTATGGACACCCCTATCTTTGAAAAGTCTGCGCAGGAACTGTAAATTGAGTATTGGAACTTGGAAGAAGCATGTATTGAATGTTAATTTATCAATATGTACGAATCAAATATCTCCAATTTCTTTCCTCAACAAAATTTCCTAGTGTCATGTAACAATTTCATATTTCTCTTTTGAGTCCTTCACCTTTTTTTCCTTCTTCATGCTCCTCAATTTGAATGTTGTCCCAGGACGGACTGGGAGGAATTCTTGGGGACAGAAAGTCCCTGACTCATGTTATTTCATGTGACACTTGCAATGAGACGTGCACCAATTAAATGATTTTTGAGATGGATTTCAGCCCGGTTTGAAGTCGGGGTAGAGGAATCCAAGATATTGGGCTGGTAATGGGTGTCATCTTTCTCCTGGTGTGGAGCTATTTTGTGCATTTTGCAATTTTATCCTGCTCTCCTCCTATATCAGGGGGAAGATTCTTATCTTTTTTTGAAAAAGAACATTGAAGGTCCTTTTGAACTTCAAAATTCCATATTGTAGCATGACCCCACTGAGTTTTTGTCCTACTTCTTTTGGGATAAAAGAACTAGGCAACAAGAAGATATTAAACATGATACTTCTCTACAGAAGGAGATAAGGCTAGGTATAGTGATCTTCATATTTTTCCTGTCCTTTTATTCAGGGCTCCGCAATAATTTTTTTTTCTAGGGGTCTGGATTATCATTTTGGGGTTTTGGGTGTATTGAACTTGTGTTACTAATTTACAATTTTGGGGTAAGGAGTGAAGAAGTGAAAACAAAAACTTTTCTTGTATCGCTGATTTTAAACACTGTCTTAAAAAGATCAATGATTAGAATATATGGAACAGTATATGACTATAGATGATAGTTTACTGTGTTGTGATGGCCAGTGCATTTTTTCTTCTTATTCATTATTCAGACGAGTCTGTACTGCGTGATTTGAAGCATCTCTTGATAGAAGCCAAGCAGAAACTCCCACCAGTACTTGAAGCCATCGAGGATGAGAATGAAGAATATATCAACATTGGAGGTAAGAATCCTAATCAAGATGGTTTAATAGTGGTGATGGTAACATATTCATGAAAAGAAAGATGAGGTTAGTGGTGATGGTGAAGGTAGGGTAGCTGGAGCAAAACCATTGAAGGCTCAAGTCAGAGATTACTTTTAAAGATGTTCTTAGCAGCTCAGGTAAGGCCTACAAAAAAGATGTTGTATTGCCCTTTAGGTGCCAAAACATGGGTCGGTCGGACAGAAATTTAAAAACAAACAAACTTTTTTTTCTTCTTTTTTATCTCCCTCTTTAGGCTGATATGATATTTCTCAGTTTTGAATGCTTTTTTTTATTCATTAAACATTTTTGTTGCAAAAATATGTTTAAAAAAAAAAAACTTAAAAAAAACCCCTGACTATAGATTTCAAGATTTTGGAGTCAATAATGGCAATAAAACATTTTTTTTTTAATCCCCTACTCATGATACAACTCAAACAGATTCTAGTAGTGCATGTTTTTACACTCAATGTTCAAGACTCCTTTTTGCAAGAGTTTTTTGGTACTCTCTAATGTGTTGAATTCCAGTAAGTTTTCACACAGAGATGATTTTTATTTTGCTCATCCAAATAATTATTAGCTAGCATTACAAACAGAATGGCCTTTTCTTAAAATGCAGTTCTAGTACTACACTCAAGACTTCCTCTATATTATTTTTAAGGTAAAGGTAGTTATACATGTAACATGCTGTCTGCAGGATATTTGATTCAACAATAATATTTAATGAATGAATTAATTAATTGATAAATAATACAAATAATGATAATAATAATACATTTTATTTATAAAGCACCTTTTCAAGTGAAACAAAGCACATTCAAAAGAAATACTACCAGCCAAACAAAATGCTTGAAGTGCATTCTTTGTATGTGGTCATGTTTATCTGTTAAGGTTATGAAATGAAGAGAGGAGAGAGAGAGAGAGAGAGAGAGAGAGAGAGAGAGAGAGAGAGAGAAAGAGAGAGAGAGAGAGAGAGAGAGAGAGAGATACAAAGAAGAGAGGCAGAGGAAGGGAGAGATATAAATAGAGATAATACATGACAATGTCATAAATTCATCTGACTGACATGCTTCATAAACCCAGGCCCTGCGTCTGTGACAGGGGCTCAAAATGGTTTAAAAGAAATACCAGGTTGAAGAACATTGTTTAGATTTCATGATGAGGCCAATCTTTCTGGGGTAACAGAATTTTTCCTCAGGGCACAAAGCTGCCAAACCTAAAATAGTTATAACCATGGGGCTGCCCAGACAACAGAGAGCATTCATTTATCAATGTGACATAAAGGTCTTTTTTATTCCTCTTGATGCATTTAAGCCGTCATTTATATTCTTACAAATTGAGAGAACTTTACAATTTGTGAGTGATTTGTATACCATATGTCTTTTGATCTAGATTGTGAGAGAGCTACAGAAATCAGTCCGGTTTCCTGGTTTTCATTTATTTTTCCTAACTATCCTCTAATGGATACATATATTGTATATGACAAAATGTAAAACTATATGCTTATGAAAGAAAATCTACACTTCAGAAAATGTAAACAAATCAAACATTTTGTGCAAGTATGTCGAAGCAGTTTTAATTAGAATATATATGTGATTACATCATTATTGTCCAGAACTGATTCATTGCTTAGAGTATATTATTTTGTAAAGCATAAAAGCACTGCCTTGTGACTTCTCCTGCAGTTCAGTGATGAAAGGATTGTTTGAAGAAGGTTCATAATTCATATTAAGAATCAACTTATGTTGTCTCTATAAAGATATGAATAAAAAATTGCTTTAAAAAAAGAAATGGAGCAAAAATCATTCACAAACTGTATAAATAATACAGGGATTGTAAAATACCTGCAATTTCACGACTTCATTTGTATTTTTGATGTTACTTTGATATAATGCAGAGATACATTTTGTATGTATCTTTAAGGAATCGCATGATTACAGGTATGTTGCTCCTGTTTGTACATATGTTTTTCTTTTGGTGATTTAAGATCTTACAAATTTTCCTTTCCTGGCTTTTTAAAGAATTGGCATCACACTTCTGATTGTATCTTAATTTGATTGTTTCTCTTTGCAGATGAGCGTGGTTGTTCATACTGTGGTGGTCTTGGTCACAGGATTACAGAGTGTCCCAAGTTGGAAGCCATGCAGAACAAGGCGGCAAGCAGTATCGGCAGGAGAGACTACCTGGCCCATGGAGCTGCAGATTGGTGAAGAAAAGACATCCAAACAGTCGTACGTTACAGCAGAATCTGTTTGTCCGTTGGTTCTTGTGAATCTCTGTGTAAGGATGATGTACCATTCCAAAAGACTGAATATTTATTATCCATGAGGACTAAAGAGCTGCAGATTGGCAACAAAAGGCTTCTGCTCATCTCGCTCCACCAGAGTCTGTTTGCTTGTTGCATCTAGGTAGTCACAACACTGAACAGTTCATATGAAACAGAGCAGCCAGGACGATCATCAAGAGGCACTTCTTTCTTATGGTACAGCAGATTGGTGAATAAACATACATGGACATCTGCTGTATTTGCTTCAGCAAAATATGTATGCCTGTTACTTTACCTGAACCTGAACCCATGACAAATAGGTATAGCAGGCTTGTAGAGATACAAATCAGTAAGCGATTGGAAATCAACTAGCCGTGAAGCATATGCTCACAGCCAATCAAATACCAGGTTTTTAGTAGCTATTAACAGTTATTGTAACTTATTATTGATAAGCAGTTTTGTGAAACAGAGCCCTGGTCTGTGTGTTCTGCCTTGTCATCCATTTATTGGCAGTACTGGCAGCTTCCTAAATCCTTTGAATCATGGGATGAAAGTTCTGACCTGAAAAATGTATGTAAACATACATATGCATGTATGTAGAGTTTGTACCAATGTGATCTTGTTAAAGTACTAGACTGATTTCTGGATAAATGTGACCTGAAATGTACTCTTTAAACGCTGGTATAAATCAAGACATTGAATTTTCATGGGTTATGTATACAAATAATAATATTCTGCTTTTATATAGCGTTTAATACATCTATGATGTCTCTAAGCGCTTAACAGATATACTATTACCCAGGTCATTGGATTCTATGCTTGCCCGCACACATTGTGTGCGCAATCTCCACTCCATGGGGAGTATTCCAGCCAGGCGCTCAAAACTATTTGACCAACAATGACAGTCGCATCCTACGGGGTACCCATTTAACACCTGGGTGGAGATTAAGTGCAGATTAATATCTTGCCAAAGGATATTAGTGCCGTGTTGTGTTAGTGCCGTGTCTTGATTTGAACCCTTGACCTTGATCATGAAAAGCTTGGTTGGTTAGTGTAGTTTACCCTGTTTAGTCTTCAATGCTTTTTAACTTGTTTTACTTCCAATATTGATTTATTTTTTTAAATATGAAATTTTGTTAATGTATGCCAATTGTTTTAATCACTAAAGTGCATGTGTTCACTAGTAACATTGCACACAGATTTGTGGGCATTCACATTTGAAGTCCTGTTACAAGGTGAATGCTCCTACTCACAGGAAATGTGTACCATACTCTATAAAATCACAGTCAATAAATGATGCATAATGAACTAAGAAACACATCTTGTGTATTTTGTATATGTGAGCCAGTTAATTTGAAATATAAAAATAGACAGTAAAGTTGCTTTGTATTAGAAATGTCATTCCTGGTCATTTAGATTGAGAATACTGTAGAACAAGGTGAACCTAACCCTACCTTTTACATGCTTGAATTATTCGTCTCGACATATCATGTGCTATATTAAGTCAGGATTTACACAAGAGTTGTACTGTTGATAAATCTTTTCTCAAAAGGACACCAGACATATGAACTAGTTTATGCTTCCACTGGGATTGGTGGACAGGAAGATAATTTTCCTTTTGTTTCTATTTGTCCCACCATCTTTATTACTTAAGCATTACATATATCTCTCAAAAAGCAGTTATATAGGGAGACATCTGTGTGGAAAGTATTGACGGATAATTAGGAAAAGGAAGAGAGGAGAGAAGAAATGAAGTTTGTTAGAAGATAATAAGAATTAGAACTTGAGAGGGAGATAGAGAGAGAAAAGTCCCCATGTTATAATAGCGGCCCTTTGGCAATAGACAATATACAACTGACAAATACAAACTACAGTGATGTAGTTATTTCCAAATCCAAGCTCCCCTCTACTGAAAAACCTTTTTCATTGGCTGCTTCCAAAAAATGGAACAATATCCCACTTTCTGTCTTGCCTCTTTCAAAAGATCCCTGGAAACATGCTTTTTCCCTCAGTAAGTTAATGCGACTTACCTATTTTTTTAAGAGTCTCTGTATTGCATATTTCTCTTCATATTCTGTAATTTTGTAAGCGCTGCCGTACTTTTTGCCGTTAGCTCTCCTAAATGAATGATATTATTATTATTATTATTAACAATATCAACAAGAGATGATTTTGATGCCAGCGGCCTTAAATATCTAAAAAAAAAAAAAGCACTTTAAAGATTAATGAACATGATGAATTAAGTGAATTCAATGCTGCAGAGTAAAAAGAGAAAGACAATATTCATTGGAAAGGGGGGGGGGGGGTAGAGGAGAAATTAAAAAAAAAGAGAGAGAGAGGGTAAGAGAGAGGTAAACAAAAAAGAGAGAAAGAGAGGGGGAAGGGGTCACTTGCCCTTTCAAAGAGGAGGCTGTTTTATCGGGTTGTACATTGTAGGAAGGAAAAGAATGTAATTTAAGCACTAACCGAGTTCCAGTAACTTCCAGATATTCCATTCGAGCTCTGGATTGTATATTCTGCCAAAGATCATTCGCAAATGTGTTGTCTCCTGAGTTTCGATAAGTATCAACACCTTATAAGACAGGGCCCTGATGCTACGAACAGAAAACGAAATTGAGAAACCAAAGTTGGCTTCAGGAAAGTTTTAGAATAGTTACTGAGAAGAAAAGTGCTCAAGAATAATCTTAGCATTGCACAGAGGTAAAGTGGAACGTTTGAATTTTCTCTTTGGTATTCAATTCTCCGAGCATGTTTCGTAAGCCCCCATTACACCAAACCAGTTCTCACAAACTAGAACATCATACAACGGGTTGTAGTCGGGGTAGCATGTGTAACTTTTGGTCGAATACAATCTCAGTTCGTTCATAAACAGTCCTCAATACGTCCATCTCGTCTGTACACCGTCCACAATCGGTTCATATCTAGTTCAGATCGGGTAAATTTGTCATTTCCAAGCAGTCCAAGCTCGTCCGTAGTTAGTTTAACCCCGTTCTTAACTAATTCTAACTAGTTCGCAATCTGCAAACTGTTCTAACTAGTTTGTAACCCGACCATCCCGTTCAGAGACGGTTCAACTCGATCCACTCGTTCTTAGTGCGTTTGAACGCGCTCCTAAATTGATGCGCCGACCTCGTCACGTTGTATTACTTCCCTAGTAGGATCGAAATACGGCAATTCCGTTTGGAGTACGTCCATCTCGTTTTAAGTTCGTTGTCACACCGTCTAGTTGCAGGACAGGGAAAATTTTGAACAGGCTCAAAGTTCAGAGCGCCCTTCCCGTTCAAGCCAGTCCGAGCCCGTCCATGAAGTTCTTAAACAGATCTTTAACAGTTGCAACTATGCTCACTCCGTTCGCACACAGTTTGAGCCCGTTTGGCAACATTTTCCAAAACGTAGTGACAATTAGTTTGGTGTGACAGGGCTTAAACGCACTTTGGGAGGAACGGGGTTGGTTCAAAATTCCTTCGATCAATCGAAGTTTTTTATTTTATTGTTAACTTCATGTCTGAACATTTTGGATGGAGTTTACGTCATCAGCCCCAAACACATAGAATGTACAATATAAAGTAATTGCATTAAATGTTCAAAGGGCTGCAATAGCCGTCTATAAATTTTACCATTATTTGAACGATGTAACATCAAGATCTAAATATAACAGTACGTTTTTATTGGACAAAATACTTTGTAGATCCTTTTGTAAAGACTAAAAAAGACTGATGTGAAGTGCAATTTCCCATGTTGCCTAATCCCAAGATACACGTTCGCATCAATACACTGATGACAGAATCGGCACTTCTTGTCTCCCGTCTTTCCTGAAATATACACGCCTACATCCATTTTGTTCTGATAATCATAACCATGATAATAATTTCTTAGTATGTATTATTTGTCCATATCGCCTTTTCTTCTCTTTGTATAACATTTCACAAATATTGGGTTGAAAATAACACCGTAATAATTATGAAAACCTCGAAATGGAAATTTAAAACGAGAGTTTTTCTTAGATACCTAGGCCTATACACATGGAATAAATTAGCATGCGTTGCGATACAAAGTAATATAACGATACGTTTAAAAAAAATGTTTAATTGCCATATATACGGGAAAAAAAATAAATGGGTGAAATGATCGAAGAACATTAAGTTTTTAACATCAAGGAACAGGCATTTCAATGCATAAGTGGACATTCTAGTTTCGTCATCGGGTCATACTTGCTTCACTTTATGCCTCGTGTTCATGTAAAAGTTCGAGAACCAAACGTATACGTAACCATCCGCTAATGGATGTTTAAACAAACTCTTAACATCTCTATTTATATGTTAAGATCAACACAAACAGTGGACTACTTGGCCTCCGACAAACTCATCATTAAACGTCACACATGCAATCTAAATAGATCGCAGACTGTGCAGACACAACATAGTCACGTTCCATTATTGAGTTTGGAACAGCTTGTGATCATAAAGATAGATAGGGAAAAATCACTGCGGGCATACTGCTTTAGATAATATATTTTATTGGATTTCCTTTAGGTTAAGTTCAATATCGACTGTGGTGTGGTGAAATTCGGAAGCATTCCAGGGAAATCTAAACTTTACAAAATTATTTCTCCCCAATCTTTACTAATTTTGTTATGCTTTCGAAAAGTGTAAATTTCGAAATCGAAAAATAAAAAAAAACACTATTTGAACAGAAAGGGTATAACAATCTAGGAGCGCAGAGACACAGAACATGAATAAACAATTTTAAAAAGAGCACACATCTGATGTTTGTCAGCATATATTGTAAATGATGAATAATTTCATCAATGTATTACCGTAGGGCAGTTTTTGTTATGTTGCCCACAAAATTATTGTATCAACATTTATTCCCTTCCTGTCAAATCTTATTCCTTTTAGGGCTACCCTTGTTTGTTTCAATATTTCTTCAGATTCGTCAACCCCCATGTTCTTTGGTCTTGCTTACCATTCTATATACTGTAAATATATATATATATATATATATATATATATATATATATATATATATATATATATATATACAGTGCGTCCCAAAAAAAATCGAAACCGAGAAGTATCGATGTTTGATCATAACTTAATCACAACTATAATTAATGCATGATACATATTTGGAAAGCTTAGAGTCTCCTCTTTCATGTGATGCTACTCGGATAATGCATATTTCACGCATGAGTGATTAAAAGCAATTTGAAAGAAGGAAACCACAAAGACATTTGGCGGGCGGTATCTGAATTTCGAAGAAAAATTCACATTTCTAAAAAGTTGAGTTTCTGCCCTTTCATATGATACCTCAATCAGGAAAAATGAGCGAGGAATGACAAAGTTCTCTTTGTTTAAAGTAGTGCTTGCATTTCCATAATTTTATTAAACGAATTCGTTTTCACTGGCTGCCTGCCGTATCAATAAACGAAATTAACAAAAGAGTTAACTCCGTTTCGTTGACAATCAGCCGTATACGAGAGTCTTCCTGCATGGCTGATTGTCAACGAAACGGAGTTAAGTCTTTTGTCGATTCTGCTTTTTGCTACGGCAGGCACCCAGTGAAAACGAATTCGTTTGTTAAAATTATGAAAATGTAAGGGCTACTTTAAACAAACAGAACTTTGTTATTCCTGGCTCATTTTTCTTGATTGAGGTATCATATGAAAGGGCAGAAAATGAACTTTCTATAAATATGAATTTTCTTTGAGTAGCATCAACTGAAAGAAGAGACTCTAAGCTTTCCAAATATGTATCATTCATTAATTAT